GAAAGGCATTCGGTGCATTTTTAAATCATTTGTCCATCTTAGAGACAGTGCAATTTTATTATATATTGTTAGTGCCATACAGTTTACGCAAATTCTACTGAGAAGTTTTCTACATCCACGAGTGACCTTCAGAGTGCCTTCTCGACGTTGGTTGCTTCTGCGATTTCATAAAGTATACAGACGGCAGTGAAAGAATTTTATCATTTTGCTACCGATAATCAGAGCTAGAAATTTTGTTCAATCTACTACTCATACTGTATTTTATATTACTGTATATACTGTATTTATCTTGCTACTTTTACTGTATATTTTACTGTCTGGACGCCGGCAGCGGGTCCGCGTTGAGAATTCATTTTCCTCGTGGTGTAATATCACTGCCGGGGTGCCGCAGGGTGGCTTGTTATCTCCTTTTTGCAGTATACATTAATTCTATTTCATGTCAATTAGTTTCTTCCTACCATCTCTATGCAAACGATTTGCAGATTTATTCTCAGGCTACTGTTGAAAATATGAATTCAGCCATCAATAATCTAAGGACTTATGTCAAATTTCTGAATGGAGCCGTAGTCATGGATTGCTGATAAATCCTAACAAAACCCAAGTTATTATAAGAGGCAGCTCTCGGGTTAGAGCAAAACTTAAGTATGATCAACTTCCACAAATTGTTTTTGCTGGAGTTCATTTACAACTCAGTGATCAGGTTAAAAATTTGGGCATACAATTAGACAAAAACTTAAATTGGGATATGCAGCTCAAAGAAGTGAGTCGCAAACTTTTTGCCACTGTTGGGTCTTTAAGAAGACCGCAATATTTTACCCACTGCTTCTAAAATTGCGCTCACACATTCTCTTATGATGCCCATACTTGATTATGCAGATGTCAGCTATCTCGATCTCACAGAAATGCAACTAAACAAGCTTGAGCGACTTCAAAATGTTTGCATAAGATTTATATTTGGATTACGCAAATATGATCACGTTTCTGAATTTCGTGGAAAACTCAAGTGGTTGCCCATTCGACTTCGCCGGAATGCACATATTCTAACGATGCTATTTGGCATACTTTTCAATCCCGTTACCCCTTCTTATTTAAAGGATCGCTTCAAATTTACCAAAGATTCTCATTCTCGCCTCTTGAGATCATCAGAAAATTTGCAATTGGATATGCCGATGCATTGTACAATCTTCTACGATAAGTCTTTTACAGTCCAAACCATGCGCTTGTGGAATGCATTACCTGTATCGATTAGGAAAGCTAAGTCCATTAATATCTTTAAGGAACTCGTTAAACAACATATTGTTTTTCTTCCTACACTGTATATATGTACACCGTCCAGTGGGGTAGTCATTATTATTAGCTCATTGATGATTTAACTCCACCCCAAGGTTGCCTAGAAGAGATCACTTTTAATGATAAGGCCGCCATTTGTACGTCTCCTTTTTACAATTGAAATTGTAAGTGTTATGTGTGTGTCCAATAAAATTTATTCTATTCTATTCTATCTTTCTAATCAACCTTAAGATTAGTTGTATCATTACTACTTTTATAATAGTTCATTAGATTTGCACCGTATATGCTATGTATAATATTATCTAAAGAAATATTAGTTACTGTGTAGTCTATCAGGGTCATTAAATTGAAATTTCAAATCATACTTAGCATCATTTTTTTTAATGTACATATTAAAGTCACCTGAGATAATTAATAATTTTTTTTTTTTTTTTTATATTAATACGAGAACTCAATATCACTTCCAGCTTACTGAAAAACAAAGTAACAAGTACTAAAGATTAATAAATCTTTGGAAGTCTATAGATTAATATAATATGAATCTTATGATGCTTTTAATATTTTTTTTTATATTTTACTTTATAGCAACACGGTAGTTAGACATATAACAATAAAATTAATGAACACAATATTTATTTACTTTATTTAATAACACTTTTGGAGAAAAATAAGTCTGATAGCTCATTAATATGACAATTAAATAATTATCAGATTTAATTTTTAAAATACTTCTCCCAAAACCGTCAAGAAGCCAATTGCCTGCCTTTGCACTGTGCTGTTTGTTTGCTAATTGAATATTATACCGGTCTGCTGTACCCGCTGTGCTTTTATTTCTACGCGTTGTTTGTATGTGTGACATAAACTTCTTTATAAACACTGATTTTTTTTCGCTCTTCCACCTACGTTAAGCCGTGGTGGAGCAATTTGACGTGACTGTCATATGCTAATCATAAATTTAATTTGATTTATCGCTAACTCTATGCACAACACAAGATTATGTAAACACAAAAATACAATGAAAACTTAAATATATATATATTATATTGTTAACTTCCTGCGAGGATGTAAGTGTTTTCAAATAACCCTGTATAACAAAACTTCAAAGCTCGTCCATGTTCCAGAAAGCACGTTAAGCTTTTTTAGTCGTGGCTACATCTGCAGTCGTTACGCACTAGGCGCGAGTTCAAGACCCATCCTCCCTCAAGACCCATCCTCCCCATTCGATTACTTCGATGCCAATAGACTACAGATGATTCAGCTATTACTGTACCTCAGCATCACTGTGAAGGGCGGCCGCTCTCGCTAGGAATCGTTCACACATGGCCGAGTTGTTCAGCAACGAACACTCCACACCAACGTACAGCGGTGGTAAATGACAACCGCCCATCAGTTGACTCGCCTAAAAATACCAGGGTTCGGATAATCGGGATAATTATATTTTTGGATAATTATTGGCTCTAGTTTAAGGCTTCATTGATAAAATAATTTTTTAAAGCGATACAGTGGCTACGGAGCCTTTTCAATGTAAACTAATTATCAAATATTTTCTAAATATATCAGCATAGATCAGTGGCGTAGCTACCAAGGGGCTAGGCGGGGCAGTGCCCCGGGGCCCTCAAGCTCAGGGGGCCCTCGAAGCTTTACCAGAAAATCTCAATCGAACTCAAGTTTTGAAATTTCCTCCCATTTTCAAAATAAATATGACAGGTGACAACTCGAGTTTAATCATGACAACTCAGTTATGAGAAATTCCAAAGTTATAAAAAGGAAAATCCCCTAAATTATTTGTGTGGGTTGACAGTGATATTAATGTTTTCATCAATTTGTCAGATATCAATATCTGCATATTATTATTTATCGATATGCGTTTTTTTGATTCGCGATTGTGAACTTACAGTCAAGATTTTTTTCGAGAATGGTTAAAAGTTAATGTATCAGGAGTAAGTAAGCGTATGTCAATAAATTTTTTGTACTGGTCGCAGTACAAAGGGGGTTCGCACAAAAGATAGCAAAGACTTATAAGACCGTATCTCTAAATTCCGCATTAGTATTGTCGGGGCTGCTTCCGCTGGACCTTAGGGTCCAAGAAGCATCCCGGCTTTATGAAGCTAAGCGCGGGAAACCCCAGGCAATACTAAGTGGCAGGAAAATAGAGGAGAGGGTATCCTTGCTGGAGTCGAACCACCCCGGCAGCCTAGGTATGATAAGATTTGAATGCATGGAAAACGCTGAAGAGGATAGCAAAATAGCAGAAGGTCTCGTGAAGATCTATACGGATGGCAGCAAACTGGAGGGAAAAGTCGGTGCAGCCCTGACCTGTTGGAAAGGGGCTGTTGAGATCGCGTCTCGAAAGTTTAAGCTGGAGCCATACTGTACGGTCTTCCAAGCCGAGCTGTATGCTATCCTCCAAGCTACGGAATGTGTGATGAAGAAAGAATGGAAGGAGGTGGCGGTGCTCAGCGATTCGAGATCCGCCCTACAGTCGCTACAAGATCCGGACTCCTCGCACCCAATCGCGAAGGCGATTCAGGGCAATCTGGTCCAACTTAGGGAATCAGGCCAAAAGGTCTCCCTATTTTGGATCAGGGCCCACGTCGGCGTGATTGGGAACGAGAGAGCGGACGAGTTAGCGAAGGCAGCGGCTCTCGGGTTGAAGTGCAAATCGCACTATGACAGATGTCCCATCTCCTTTGTCAAAAGGCATTTACGCAATTTGACAAAGGTAGAATGGGACAGCCGGTATAGAAGCGAAACCACCGCCGCCACGACAAAGGCCTTTTTCCCCAGTGGGGAAAAGGCCTTTGCAGTTGTAAGAAAGATGACGATAGACAGGTGGGCTGCACAACTATTAACGGGGCATGGAGGTTTTAAGTCTTACCTCCACTTTGTGAGTGCGACCCCCAAACAAGGCAGGATGTATTCCACGTTTTGTTGGAATGCCCAATATTCGGTACAAATAGGTAAACTCTACAGAATAGCATCAACACAAACCTTAGTAAAGAGAACCTAGAAATAATAATAGCAGACAATGAAGATAGAGACAACTTTATGAAATACGCTTGTATAATAATAGAAAAAGTAGCTAAGAGAAATAAGGATTGAATGAGACTGTAAATTGGAATGTAAACAACAAAAGATAGTAATATTAGAAATAAGTAAGTAAGCAATCTGTAATAGTATATAACTTAAATAGATAAGAACTGTAAGAATACCAAAAATGTAAGATAATACATACGAAATATGTAACATATATATAAAAAGAAAATTGTAGATAAATAAAAACAAAAATATGTAAATAGTAAATAAGACAAAAAAAATGTAATAGAAATAAGACAAGAAATAAAAGAGGGAAAAAGAGCGATCCCCAAATGACAATAGGTCATAAAACCTGTAAAAAAGAAAAAAAGATATATACAAGCAAAAAATACAAAGTAAAAAAGACAGCCTGCTATAAAGTGGGGGAACCTGCTAAAAAAAAAAAAACGTATCTACGAATAAATAAATATCTAAAAAACCCTTGAATCTTTTCTATTTCGTTTTATTGCCCAATACCTACACCAAGTATAAAAATTATTGTAATTTATGTTGTTAGTGTTTAATAGTTTTATTACCTGCCCATGCACGAAAAAGAGCTGTTGATAAAGTTGCTTAGCATTTTTAAAGTATATGTATATTTAATGAGTTTACTTCAAAAAACCTTAACAGTTTTGATAGCAGTGGGTCCCATTTTTTTGTTTGCCCCAGGGCCCTAGGTTACCTAGCTACGCCACTGGCATAGATGTACATTACCCAGCATTAAAGTAAAATCTTCGCAAAATTTGAAATTAATGGAACTGACCTCAAATAATGTTAAAAAAATTGAAAAATTACCCTAACTAATATTATAAATGCAAATAACCTTGTTTGTAACTCTTTTAAACATATTTCGATAAAAAAAAAAAAATAATAATATCATCATATGAATGCATTTTTTTTATATAATTGTATCTTACCTTGAAATATGCAGCCATAGCTTGATCATGTTCATTATCATTTGCAAAGCTGTGTCCGTAAGCGAGCCATACACATCCAGCGCCCGGCTCCAAACTCTTAGCTTTACTAAGATACCTCCGGGCAAATTCACTTTTACCTATAGAAAACACCAACTTACCGATCTTATTTCCACTTTATTAATTTACAAAACATATAGTTGGTCAAGTTATCAGTGGTATGCCACTGCAATCTCCAACTCAAATAATTACGCAATCAATGAATAAAATGTTACAAAAACAATGATTTCATTAATTCCAATGGCAATTCTGATGAAGGTCCCATAAATTGCTCATTCGTCAGAACCATGACCTGACATCTGTTACTAACACTGTCCTAAATAAGTAAGTGTAACACTAAATTCAAGTAAATTGAAAACAGAAAGTACAAATAGCAAAAAAATTAAATAGATAAATTAATTTATAAATTGATGATAAACTTAATAATTATACCCGAAATGGGGTCATTATAATTTATCAAAGCTTGGCTTTACTTTAACTCCTAGTTTAATTTATTGCAAAATAATTTTCGAATATCGGCAAATTTACGTTAATATTAAGGCATTTTACAAAAAAAAATAATTATTATTAATTAGTAATAATAAGAGTACCTTTTTTTAAAACATTGCCGTAGGTTTATAGATTAATATTCGGTCATTCACTATATGCTAATTATATGAACACATCCATCCTCCATTACAGATATTTATCACAGATATTTATTTTTATAGTTTGCAAGCTTACTTTTAATTGAACAAAGAAATTAAAAGGAACAATAACTATTGTTATTGTTTAAGGTACAGTACAACAACACATCCCATTACAGGAAACTGACAAATTTCTCTAATTGATTTTGTATCTTAACAGTTTGGAGGAAGGTTGAAAATTTATTGCTGAAATTTCACATTTGGTTTTATAATTGATAAGTTGCTTTATGTATTTAGTAGAACTCACCGATAAGGTAGTAGTAACACCCGACCGCGTACCATGATATCCAACTGTTAGGGTAAGCGTCCACCAGCGTGTGAGCGAACGCGAATAGTTCAGAACTCTTCCTTAGTTCGACTAGACAAGCAACGCGCACCTCCCCGCAGCACCAGGGGTCGACGGTGTCCAATAGTTTGAGGGCCGCTGCCCACTCGCAGCCGGCGGATAGACGCCGCGCGCGACACATCGCCGCTTCAGAGGTACGAGAACGACATATTTCGACCTCCGTTTTCATCTGATCACACAAAACATTACACATAAAGTCGCACGTTAACATCCGGCTCGAAGGATCAGAAAAGGGAAGCCCATAAATTCGCATAGATTGATAAAATAATGGGTTGTTGATAATTTAATGCAGTTTATTCTGAGTTCAAATTTCGAAGGTTCAGTAGTTATTACTGATGTGCCGGCCCGGTGAAAATGTATATCCGTGGATGCGAGCACGAAATACGGATATTTGGTGTTAACGTTCACCGGATAAGATCTTTAATTCTCTTATTCAATCGGTGTCAGCGGACGAGACTTTGAAATTATAGTTGACGTCGCCTGCCGTAACGATAGGACGTTTCGATTTAAGGATCTTTATTTGTCATTAAGAGAATTGTCCATTACGTGAGAATATTATAAACATTATCAAATATACAATATAGTGTTAAAATAAACGATAAAAGTAGATGCACATGTAATCGTTAAATAAACATTAAGAATAATAAACACACACATACGCCGATCGCCGATAAGTAAAGACATCCGACGACATCACGCTCATCTCGTTATATTTTCGTATGAAAAGTGATAAAATGGAACAAATCCACGTTGGTATATACGCCTGCAGTGTTATTTTAAATATAGTCCTCCGATATGGACGATCTATTTGGGCTTCGTAATAGCCCCTTCTGACTACCCGCCGACATATATATATTATTATAATACATATCAATATAATTACAAATACATACTTGAATGAATAATAAACTTAGTAGACATGAGATAACAATTTTCATGATTCTCACCGATTTAATGTGAAATCGTGTAACTTGGTTTGAAAGCAAACTGACTGGGGGACATTCTGCTGTGTGTGAGGAGTGCATCCCATAAGAGAATGACTTTAATAAAAAAAAAGGAGAAGATCGTCCACTCCAGAGTGTAAGTACTGAAAGTGTGGAGTGAGATATCTTGAGGCGTTAAATGTTTGCAATAAAAAAATAGGGTAGTCCGAGCACGGACATCTCTATGCTTTGGAATAGGCATCCATTTCAAATGCGAGCGATGGGCAGATACATCAAATTCTACCTCATCACCTATATAAAGCACTTCATCTTATCAAGTGAAATTTAATAAGGTAAAAGCAACGGATTCGGTCTTTCTTCGCTGTCGGATATCCGAGGACACGGATATCCGGAGCATCACTAGTAGTTATATACTCACGGTACAATCCTGTTCAGTGGGTGGTGGCGTGGACGGTATCGGCGTATACCTGTTGAGGCGGTCGCGGTACGCGGCACGGACCAGTGCCGCCTCTGCACCGCTCAGCTGATTAGACACCGGAAGTGACTCTATCAGCTCACTCTCTGATACAACCATCAACTTTACTCATAGCTTGTGCACATTAACATCAAGAAAACTCGAAAATTAGATTATTACATTTTATACACTATTTAAAATACTGTTGCCTAATAAACACCACTGTATTTTTATTATTTTTGAGTGCTAAATGGGGATGATGTGTGGATAAAGAAGAAAATAGAAAAATATTAGATACATTTTTTTTTCTTAAATTTAACATGGATAAGATAATAGGCATTAAAGTTGAGAGTAGGGGATCACTATGTCACATCTCTATGTATTGCATATGTATGTAATTCATTGGTTATGCAAAAAATTAAAAAATACGTGTTTATTGTTTTTCAATAATCTACCTAACGGACAGACCAAAAATTATCCCTATTACATTTTTCCATCTCTGGCGATAATTTGTTTTTAGCACTCCAGCTCTCCTCATTAAACAGGAAATACGCACAACAGAAAACAGTGGACCTCATTAGGCGACAGTACCTTAGGTTTTTGTCAAAGAAATAATAAAAAACAGACTAACAATTGATTGAAAAAAAAAAGAATCAGACGACATGACATACATTGCTGAGATTCCAAGATGTGTAACTTAATTATGGAGTATAGAAAAGGCAATATATCATTTGCTACATTGACCCAAACGAAAATAAAGCATGACGATAGCGAGACCATGTAACTGGCGTTGGAACCACTTAGCTACGGAGGTCGCCTTCGTAACGATTTTCTCATAGTATGAGAATCAAAAACGAAATTGCAGTTTCAGTAGTTACGTAATAAGGGTGGGAATAGTAAAATATTTATTTTCTTAATAACGTCAAAACTTGTAAAAAATAATTCTCGCTCTCATTTTATTAAATGACGTCAGAGGAAGACATTTATAACAATAAATTATGAAATATGTTGGAAATAATGATATATACGTAAACAATAACTATGCTGTATTTTTGCAAAATAGACTTGTGATTTCTAGTCTGTGGATTATGAGAATGCGACGTCACATAGTTAGAGAAAGCAATGACAATATTTTTAATATCAACGTCATCGTTTAAGAGCATTAACGACTCATATCTTCATATTGAAATGCGATGTCACTGCTTAAAATATCAAGTGACTCATTGATTTCGCGGGCATTTCAAATTAATACATAAAAAAAGTTCTTTTCTTTAGCAACTTTCGTAAGGGTCCGTCCCAGGATGGGTGACCAAAAAATGATCATCTTGAACTACTCCGTGCTTGGGCAGGCATGTTAAGCCGTCGGTCACGGGTGGATTTTCAGGACGTTAACAACCTCCAATATGAAATAGCCCAGCGTTCCTCAACTATCAAAAAGTGGGACTGGTCCCGGCGGGCTACTTGCTAAATCTCAGGTCCTTAAAAACACATACACACACACCGACAGGTAGGCCGACCTCGCTTAAGTCTGTGCTTTTCAGGACGGGTGCGGGGTTTGAAGGTTGCATCTCCCCTGCGTTAAAAAATAAGGTGGGTACCCTGTGCGGGCGTGAGGGCGTGGTGGTCGAGCAGCAGGTCCAGCGCCTCGTAGCAGGCGCAGTCGGCCCGCAGCGCCGCGCACAGCGCGCCCGCGCCCGCCTCGCGCCGCTCCAGCGCCCACAGCGCGCGCGCCTGCCACACTAGCACGCCCGCCAGCGCGCGCTTCACACACAAATCACAGTATAGGGGGCCTATTCTATTTGTCCTCGAGCGGATATTCGGAAAATTTCGAAGAATTCTTATAATCTTGTCAAAAACATATCCGTGAAGATTAGCTGTGCATCATTGCCGGTATGAGGCCCACCCTCCGTAGCATCATTAAAAATATCGAAAAATGCGTTTCTTTGGATTGTTATTGGCATTTAAAATCAAATTTCGTTTTCGGCGCTATAGAATAGACCTTCAGAGTGGTAATTTTTATTTTTAGAGACCGCTATCCTGCCTGAAAAGCGCCATGAGTCTTTGTACGCCGGCCATGATTACCAATCGTTGTTCGCATGCGAGTCAAATCGCATTCGTAAAACGTTATATTTTAAAAGATTATAAAACACAAAAATTAAATGTTTGTACAAAAAATAACTGGTTTAGAGCGTAATGGAGGAGTAACGCCCGGTTTCTGTCTACAGTCTTCAAAGCTAAGCACATTTCAAACTGCTTACACAGGATTTGAGTTTCTGATTTTAGTTTTATAATGATCACTTGATAGCTGTTTGAAGCTAGGACTTTTTGCCTTGTGAAACATACAACTTAAGTTATTGAGAATAATCGGTTGAGTTATTATACTATTCTCAATTCAGAAACTAGTCGTTAATCTAATATCTGAATGTGAATCACTCATCATAATCAACAATTGAACACTTTATCTGTTACTGACATATTCGAAACATTAAAACAACTTCAAAAGCATGAGAAAAAATTACTCGTCTTAAACAAACTTCAATTGAAGTCTGGTAAAGATTTTGTGTGAGTTGTTGAATGTTGCTTTTTGGATTTTCAAATAAACATTTAATTTAGCAAATAATCAAGTGATACTTCTGTTTTAACTTTGTTATTACCTATATATTTACTGAAAGTTGCAACTGACAATTAAAATTTTGTTACTTGTTTACATTATTGGGAAAGTAGTGCTGATAGAGTAATTATTTTTGTACATTGAAAGCAATATGTTATATTGGATATATGTAATATTTGAGTTCCATGATTCAACTAACTTAATATTCTTTTCTTCTTTTTTTCAAAATAATGATTTTTTATTGACTTTGGAAAGCAAACAGGTAGTAGAAAAACCTGTAATTTTTTTTAAGTATAAGCTTATTCTGCTGTATTTTGGTTATGCTGGTTACTATGTGTTTGCTTGTCAGTGTCCATATCTATATTTGGTTTAATAATATATTTACATTATGTGTTTGGTCTGTGCTCTTTGCCTCTAGTAATCCTGGTTCACATTCCTCTATGATGTTGATGGCTGTTGCCGGTTCCTTAGCAGCTAAATATGCCCTCATTGCAACACCAAGACAAAGTAAGTGTCGTCTGAAATGAAGAAAAAGTATCAAATATAGTGTAAGGTATATTATTAATGTTTATTTTTTATTGTATATTTTTCTTTGTAAATTTATTCACAGTAATTATATTGACATAATGTTGGAATGCTATTTATTTTTATTTTTACCGTTAATACTAACAAAATGTTATATGTCTTTGTTGGTCTTATATTTGTAGTTATTAAAATTCTTTATATTTTTATTTTACTTATTTATTGAATTGATGCACAAAGACTTGCCTAGTGAGTTGTACTCTGTTACAAAGTCAATAAATGATTTCATTTGATAATTTTATAATGTTTTACTATGTACTCTTGTACCAATATTTTCCTACTTTATTTTAATGAAAATTATTGTTGACTAGTTTCTAGAATAGCTTTTATCTGTCAATGAACATAACAAAATAGTTATTGCAATAATATTATTAGACATACGTAGACCGTAGATGCAGCCATGATATTTAAGTCATGGCTGCATCTACAGTCATTAACATAGCCATATAAGACATACCACCAGCGTGGTGGGTTGTGGCTCATTCTCTTTATTTGATTTTGTCAATAGGAAAGACCAGTGCCCCATCAGTGGGAATATTAATCTGCATTTGAAAATACTTACCTGTGCAAGCCTCTAGACGTAACTGCATGTGCAGCACGGTGTAATTCACCTCGGGATAACATTACACTGGCAAGCAACCATATGTCATCACCACTAGCTGAACCATTTCCACTGCCGGCTGCTGCAGCAGCATCTGCCCAAAATAAAGCGCTTGTCCATTGACCCTAGAAAAATCAATATGGACTTTAAAACCTATAAACATTTAATAGTTTCCAAACTAAACAATGAATAACCTGTCTGTAATACTCACCAGTTCCGAATACTGTTTCACTAGAGATCTCATGAAGTCAATGTTTAGACATTCTACTCCCGCAGTTGTCGTTTCGGCTTTGGCCATGGCATCAATTATAAAGGAAAAGTAAGTAAATCGAAGTTATTAAAAATAATCAAAATTAGATATTTTTCAAATATCACTCATAAAGCGAAAATAAATATGATATTTTGAAATCGCCAAAACAGTCTTCCCGCCAGGTGTCAGTCACATTATTTTGATTAGGCCACAGACCAATAACAATCATAAATAAAATTTTATGTTTTGTGTCCCACAGACTAATAAGGTTTATGCATAGATAAAACATAATAGTACTTTTGAAATCGAATTTCATTTAAAGATAAAAACGAAAGGACTAAAAAAGCACCGCCACTAGATGACGACTCTAGCAAAAGTTCCGTTCCTTTTAACTGACATAAAAAAACTGAAACTTGCATAGTTCGAAACTTACATATCAATACAAATACGAAAAAGTACAAATAGAATATAAGTTGTTTGTTGAGTTTTGAAAACTAATTTACTTTTATCCATGAAAGAAAACCGGAAGGGTTGTCATGGGGAAATCAAGAAAGTACTGTAGTGACATCTAGTTTGATTTCGGGAACTATTTTTTTTTAAACACTTTCTCATATTTGCATTACATCACGAAACTACTTAATTATGACAGTAATGAACGACATTTACATATGATGTTGATATTCACACGTGGAACTATAACGAAATCAATTCAATGAAAGTAACAACGCATTTCGTAATGAAATCCGGTTTTACAAAAACCCTTTTATAAAAATGATGAGTTGTTATTGTATATTTTGGACAACATATAAATACTACAGTATATAAATGTATTGAAATGACACAAAGTTGAAGGTTGGATAAGGCGGAAATATTTAAATTCTCCAGAGATTAAAATTAAAAACCTAGAAATATCTTGGTTTCTAAAGGTCGGTGTGTAGGCTATGTAGCCAAACATCACTGTTAGAATCCATTTCAACGTATTACATACCGATTTTATTAACATGAACAAAGTACAATCTACAAAAAAACCTGTCTAAGTGAATAAATACTGCAGACTAGATTTTTACAGACCGGCAAATATCCCGATTATAGTATTTTCAATTAAGTTATTTTTGTTTGGAAAACAAGAGTTCATATAAATCGAGATCGGAAATTCGGAATCCCTACTTGCTGTCAACTGACAGTTTGAATTTGATGACGGAAAGAAAAAGGTTATAAACAGAATTTACAGAGAATTACGTTGGTTAGGAATTATTTATTGATGATATTAAACCGTGACCTATCATTAAAGAGTGAATTTATTTTGTATAGTGTTCAAATAAGACTGTGTTGTAACTTTTGATAAACTTTCTGATACCTCGAATAGCAACGTGTCTTAGGTTAGGCCGTTAGCGAAACATGTTAGTACAATTCTTAGAATAACATGACTGAAAGAAAAATGTGCAAGTTCTACAATTTAAACGTGCCTGAACGACGGTCGGGGGAGAGCGGGCAGGGAGGTGGCGCCACGCAAAACCACGGAAACAATGAAGATGATGATAGAAATACAGACGAGGCAACTCCACCTGCAGTGCCTCCTCACGAGCACAAATTGGAATACAGCTATTGGATGTGGTTTTCGCGGCGACCGCCTGCCCGCGAGCTCTCTGCCTCAACCACCGGTTATGGACAGGTTAGTCATTAAAAATTATTTTAGACATACACATGAAAGATTTAAGGATGTAACAAAGAAAACAATAAAATAATTCACATAAGCTATTAGATAATGTTCCAAAATATGTTATATTTTTTGTTACATCAGGAATATTGTTAAAATATGGGATAGCATTGGCCTACCTTCAATGCTAATTTGGATAAAAAAAGCTTGAGGGTAAAAGTACAGTAGAGGTTATACAGGACTTATGAAATGCTTACATGGAATTATACCTTACAATAAGGTACGCCTTTGATGATAACTGAATAATAGATTACTAATTATGAATAAAATTTGTTTTAGACAGTGGATTTTGTTTGTGTCTTTTTATATATGTGGACTAGGCAAAATACATTAGTAGTTTGTAGTGAAACTTTCTTTGAATATGTGACTTTATAAAAAAACTTAGTTGTTTGTCAATAATCAGCTTAAAAAAATATAGGTCTGAAAGCAAGGAATATAAGTTTTAGAGACTACCAGGTTGAAAGAGCTACTATGGTGATGAGTCACAATTTTTTCATTTAGGTCACAGTAACAACAGTACTATGATGAAGTGCATCCATAATGTAAACTAAACTAAAGAAAATTACTTGCAGGATGCTCAAACTGGCAATTCCACTTGTAAAGATTCAACTGTAAAGGATACGCTGGTTCGGTTCAGAATGAAAATATATTTTATAAAAAACAAAATACAAAATACGTCAAAAACCATAAAGAAAAAGTACAATAAAAAAGTAAAAGATATACAAAAAGTTTATTATGTGCTGTCCTGCACATTGCTCCCTTTTTTTTTTTCAAAGTATAACTAACTTCTTGACAGGTCGTCGTAGGATTCCGGCAGAGGTACATACATCCGCGACTCTGACAATTCCGTCATGGCCTGGATATGTAGCCGAAACTCTTCCTCTTGGCCATGTCCCTCTTGGTAAATTTCCATCCACCACCAAGACTAAATCGCCGACTGCCACATTTTTAGTAGGGACCGCTCTCTCATTTTTTCGGGGTGCTAATATTGGCATGTACTCCTGTATCCACCTTCTCCAGAAGTGATCAGCCAACCGTAGAGCCTTCTTCCAACTAGAGCGGCTGACCAAATCTCGGTCTTCTAAAAGAGCAGGAAAGGAGCGACCCATTGATGATCCAATAAGGAAATGGAAGGGGGATAATGGCTCTTCAGCACCTGGTTCACAGGGGATGTGTGTGAGTGGACGGGAGTTCACTAGAGCTTCAGCTTCAGCGAGTAGGGTAGCTAGCACCTCATCTGATGGCGTTCTCTGCTTGAGAGTTACTCGAAGCGCAGTTTTGACACACTTAACCATTCGCTCCCAAGCTCCGCCCATGAAAGGAGCTGACGGTGGTATAAATTTCCAAAGAATCTTCTCGTTTGCGACAAAATCTTCAATAGCAGCTCCATATAAAGATTTAAGCTCCCTGTTAGCGCCAACGAAAGCAGTGCCATTATCAGAAATGATTTCACAGGGTGTACCTCGACGTGCTATAAAACGGCGTAGACACATAAGAGCTCCATCTGTGGATAACGTGTGTACTACCTCTAAATGAATAGCCCTTGTTACTAGACAGGTTAATACGGCTACATAACGCTTCTCTCGTCTACGACCTACAGCAACTATCAGGGGTCCGAAGTAATCTAAGCCCACATAGGAAAATGGCCGTTGATGGTGAGCCAATCGTTCAGGAGGTAGGTCGCCAGTTGGAGGGCTAAGTGGCTTGGCTCGCATCTGCTTGCATATCGTACAATTGTGGACAATAGATCGTAGAGCATTTCGAATTCCAAAAATCCAGAAATTTTGACGTAATCGACTCACAATCATCTCATTGTTTCCATGGGCCGCTCTAACGTGATGATATTGCAATAAAAGTCTGCAGGCTGCGTGTTTGCTATCCATGACTATTGGTCGTCGCGTGGCTGTGCGGTCAGACAATTTTATTAAGCCATCATCATCCAGGAATACGACAAATTTATTCAGGCGACTCTGCGGTGGCATTGGTTTTCTGTTCTGAAGACAGACGATTTCCCTCTCGAAGCTGTCTAACTGACTTTGACGAAATATATGTACCTCTGCACGACATACGTCTTCGGCCGTCAAAATTCGACATACCGCCCCAGATTCGATTCCTGTTTTAAAAAACATTAGCGATCCAATTGACGACTTAAGAGTGTCCTCTGACACCCCTTTTTTGAGTAAAGCACGCGATCTAATGGAAACAATAAATTTGTGAGCTCTTGCCGTTGCACGTACCAATGTGAGCCACGAGCTAATACGAGTGGGATCAGCACACAGTGGCAAACGCAACCGTTGAGACTCAATGTTTTGAAGCGATTGTGACGTTAATGGGTCATGAGATGAGACATGGTCTGTTATTACTGCTACGATGTTACCACAGGTCCTAGATGAACTAGTGGATGCTTTTAGTTCCTCCTGGAGAGACGTCGTTCTGGAGGCTGGTTCAGCTGGCCAGTCATTGATGAGAAGAAAATGTGGTCCAGTTACCCACCGGGAATCTTCCGATAACACATTACACTTTAGTCGTGTGGCATCGTCCGCGACGTTCAAATCAGTGGGAACCCACCGCCACTCCTCAACATTCGTTAAATCTAAAATTTCCCCTACTCGATGAGCCACGAAAGGTTTATATGATCTTGCATCGCTGCGTAACCAACCCAGAACGTTAAGCGAGTCGCTCCAGAAGTAACGTCTTGATGGTATGTAACTATGACTTTCAGTGATAGATGAGGCGAGACGAGCAGCCAGTAACGCACCTTGAAGCTCTAAGCGCGGAATAGAAATTGGCTTCAAGGGTGCTACTCTCGCTTTGCTGCAAATAAGTGACAGCTTCACTTTTCCGTTGTCATATAAAAAACGCCAATATGCAACTGCAACATAAGCTGATTCGCTAGCGTCTGCAAATACGTGAAGCTCGCACTCAACAAATTCACTAATACCGAAATAATAAAGTCGAGGAACTCTAAGGTTAGAAACCGTGGTTAAAATATCAAACCACGACTTCCAAGCTTTCTGTTCAGATTCTGGAAGTTTCTCGTCCCAATCGTATCCTTTACGCCATACACGCTGAAACATGATACGTCCAGGAACTATGACCGGCGCAAGGATCCCAAGTGGGTCGTAAACTCTCATGATGTATGATAGCACTATGCGTTTTGTCAAGTTTTCAAGCTTAATATTAATATTTAACTCATTAAAAGTTATAAAATCTCCATCAAGTTGCCAAATCAAGCCTAGTGTTCGCACCGAAGTTGGGAAGTCACCAAGCTTTATTTCTTCCACCGAAGGAGTAAGTAGTAACTCCTTAGGTAAAAGAGACAAAGTTTCTGGATTATTAGATACCCAACCTCTCATTTCGAAACCTGCGTGCTTATGAACTGCTACAATGTCGACAGCAAGGCGCTGTGCTTCTTCGATAGAGTCGACACTGCCAATATAATCGTCCATGTAATGGTCGTTTATAATGGCATCTGCCGCTCTTGGATATTGATCTCTAAATTCATTTGCATTTTTATTCTTTACAAAAAGAGCAGAACAAGGACTCGATGCAGCGCCAAACACCATTGATGACATACGATATATCTTAATAGACTCATTAGGGCTATCGCGCCACAGAAATCGTTGTGCATCACGATCTTCCAGTCTAATTTTAACTTGTGGAAACATTTCCCGTATGTCTGCGTTTAAAGCAACTTTCTTTTCTCTAAATCTAAACAAAATCCCTAAAAGAGGTTGCAAAAGGTCTGGTCCCGGTACTAGCATAGAATTTAAGCTAATGCCTTGGCACTTTGCTGCTGCATCGTGAACGATACGAAGTTTGCCTGGCTTTTGAGAATGCGTGACACCAAAATGAGGGAGATACCAATTCACTGACTGCTCCGTGGTGTCTTGCACTGGACACAATTCGGCATAATCTTTATCAAACATAGCATGTATATTTCGACGGTATAACTCGGCATAAGAACTATCTCTATTCATTTTCCTTTCGAGACTCAAGAAACGGGAAAATGCTAGTAAGTAACTATTAGGAACTGTTGGAACATCTGGACGCCACAAAAGTCCTACCTCAAAACGACCAGAACTTATTCTACGAGTAGTATTTTCGAGGACTTTTATGGCGTGTTCGTCGTTAGCACTACGAATCTCCCGCTTTGTTATTCCTATTGCCTCTAATTTGTACTGTTCTTTAATAAGAGTCTCCAACGAACTATCAGAAGATTCAACTTCCATATCAGAAGTATGATGAACAACATCAACCTTACGGGTTCTGCTAGATGAAAATCCGAATAATACCCAACCTAAAACAGTATTTATCGCAACCGGTTGTGATTTTGTACCTTTTCTAATATCTCGCGCTATGGTTAGATGCCAATTATCGATTCCTAAAATAATTGTTGGCTTCGCATTCTCATAAAATAAAACGTCAACTAAATCAGATAAGTAAGTAAATTTAGAAATGTGATCTTTACCAACTGATTGAGTTTTGATTCCCAAATGATTAATAGAACGTGCTTTATGAACACGATGAACACTCGCCTCATGTCGGCCTTTGATGTTGAAATCCACATATTGCACCGTGGTGTCCGTGGACAGACCGCCAACACAATCGAGACGAATTTGAGCTGTCGGTCCACTTACACCAATCCGAGAACATGTATCAGATTCTATAAAAGTTGAAGTAGCTCCGTCATCCAGTAATGCATACGTGTCAACGCTTCCTAAAGGCCCTGACACCGTAACTGCTACTACCTTTAGGAGAGGTGAACAACGCGCAGGCTGTTTTGAATCAATTGTCATCGAAGCATGAGCAACTGTATCCTGCGTGTTATTCGGATCAACCACACACTCCTCGAAACCCGTAGCATCTTCGACATCACTAACCACGTTCACATGAGCAGTCGTATTTCGTTGTATACTATCGTGCAATAATTTATGATGTCGATAACCACAACCTTCTTGACTACATACCTCTTTCGCCTTACAAAACCGTATTCTGTGTAAACCTTTTTTTAAACAACGATGACAAATTTTATTATTTTTTACGAACTGCCATCTGTCAGTAAGGGATAATGTTTGAAACTTCAAACAATTAAACAATTCATGATTTTTGGCACAATACAAACAAACAATTTTAGAATTGAATTTTACCAATGAAGAATTGGTTGATTGTGATGTGCCTTTATTCTGTAAATTTTCAGTCACTGTATTTATTTTATCCCTGAATCTCCTACTGTTATCAAAAACTTGCCCTGAGGTTCCGGGTTCGATTATGCCATGCTTAACATAAAGATTCACTTCGCGTGCTAAAAAATTTGCAAATTTGACTAGACGTTCATCTTCACTGCCTTCATAAGTTTCAGCATAATCTTGCCATCGTGATCGTAACAGCATCGGAAGTTTTGAAAGCATGGTAGAAAATAGTTCCGGTGAATGTAAATAGGCCCTATTGTCTAGCAACCTAATAACCTCTACGCAGTTACGAACACGACAGGCAAAATGAACTAAATCCTTACCGTCGGGGCTTAATCGTTGCAATGAACGCATTGTAGCAACTTCTTGCATGACGATAAGTTCGGCGCGAGCGTACTTCATATCTAGCACGCTCAATACGTCCTCCGGTACGCGGGCAGATACAAGTAAGGCGCTCACCATGTCACGCGCTGAACCACGCAATGAATAATTGAGACGTGCTAAATTTTCCGTGTCCGAGTACAAGTGAGATGTGTCCAAGAAGGCGCGCTTGAAACCTAAATATTCAACTGGTGACTTCTGTAGACCGTCAAAAAATGGTAGATTAAACGATTGGTTACTACTACGTTTATTAGAAGTGGTAATTATATTTTCTAATGCAGAAACTAGTCTAGTGAAGCCATTGTTGTCGTCTTGTGTCACCGTTGACTTGTTCACGCCAACAGACTGCTGATGGTGTGTTCCGCCCGCCATCGCGTTCGGATAACCGTTCGGTTGTCGGACGGAAGGCGGAGCCGCACGATGCACTTCGTCGAGCCAACTACTAATACGTACCTCTTTATGGCTATTATCACTACGTCCACTATGAATACTACTACCACGTTGGCTAGTACTTGCTGCTTCTATCGCGGCGATATGCGCGCGATGTTCACGCTCGAGCACTTTCTGTTCAAGCTCTGCGAGACGACGAGCATGAAGTGCTTCTGCAGCGAGAATCTGCGCTCTTACCGTCGCAGACGATTTTCTTGAACGTGAGCTCGATGTCTGTGGTATCTGAGGCGTATGCGACATACCTGTATGGCCTTCTACCACTGGTTCTTCTGAAATGGAGGGATGCGGCAGTGATGGCATACGTAACGTATCTGAGGGGCCACTCACCGCAGGTTCTCTACTATCTTCAACGATAGACGAGGTGGGAACCTCTTCGCCCTTTTTGCTTCGAGTTTGAACCATTTTTTTTCCAGAAAGGACCACTATGTAAAGATTCAACTGTAAAGGATACGCTGGTTCGGTTCAGAATGAAAATATATTTTATAAAAAACAAAATACAAAATACGTCAAAAACCATAAAGAAAAAGTACAATAAAAAAGTAAAAGATATACAAAAAGTTTATTATGTGCTGTCCTGCACACCACTAATTGTTTGAAAATTGGCCTACTAACCCTAGTTAAGGTAGACGATGCATTATTTTGTAATATAAAAAATGGTTACAGCTAACCAAAATTCATTTATTAAGAATATTAATTTTTTTTTGTCACGCAACTTGTTAATGTTATGATGTTATTGCAGTGGATTGATAGTAATAATTTAAAGCTTAATTCAAATAAAACAAAATTCATAAAGTTTGCATTACCTAATGTGAGGCATGTTAATACACTTAAAAATGTAAATAGTGAAAAAGTTGAATTGGTGGAATCAACAAAGTTCCTTGGTATCCCATTGCAGTTAGGAATCTAGTACACTAGATTCCCGACTGCAATGGGATCCTCATATTGAAAATTTGTCAAGTAGACTGAGTTCTGCAGCATTTGCTGTTAAGAAATTAGACTCTTCACAAATGTTGAAACGGAAAGATTAGTATATTTTAGTTATTTTCATAGTGTAATGACCTATGATCTATTGTTCTGGAGTTCTGCGGAGAGCTGTCCGCGCTATATATAATTTACAGTCTAGAGAATCTCTCAGAGAAATATTGAAAGAAATAAATATTTTGACTGTTGCCTCTTAATACATCAATGAAAATATGATGTACACAAGAAAACATTACGATTCCTTCACAAAAAAAACAGGTGTTCGTAATCTTAGCACAAGAAATAAACTTGCCGTTCCAAGCTTCAGACTTCAGAAAACCAGAGGGTCATTTCTGGGTAAATGCATTGCTATGTTCAATAAAGTTCCACAAAATGTAGTTGACCTACCCATAAATAAATTTAAAATTCATGTAAAGAACATACTTATATGAGTAATAAAGTTGATGATTATTTTAAGGATCGCAATGCATGGAATTAATAGCCTTCGCTTTGTTCTATAAAGACTAATTATATGTTCAATCTATGTCCTACAGATGTTGAAATATGTATTTATTATTGTGATAATACATATTATTTTGGTAATGACATGATTTATGTAAATGTCATTACTTATGATAAAGAGCTGGTAAGTTTCTTTCGCTTGTTCTTCTTGTCAGCTAAAAGACATCCTGAACAAGTGGTAGGGGAAAAAAAACTTTTTTTGGACGATTCAAAAGTACTTGTAATAGCCTGCTTGAATAAAGATATTTTCATTTCATTTCATTATTATCTATAAGTTGCAAATGTTACAAAGGGTTCACCCTTTATTTATAAAGAATTGATTCATAACAATAGTGATTTTGGATTAAGGTTCTGACAAATTGTGTGTGTGTGAATATCAACTTTTGTAATGTATGTGTCAATTGATACTCGAAACCAGAGTACAAAGAGTAAGTGCTCTTCATACATATGCACCGAAAACGGTTTGTATGTGAGCGCGCCCGTGCGTATGCATCATCGCACTCACACACTTACAAAATTATCGAAGTTATAGGAGTTCATGGCATCAGTGGCAACTCGCCAGTCGTGGCTAGTACTCTGTGCTTGCGTATATTCCGTTGTATTGTCGCTTGTTAAAAAAATTCTGGACATAAACAAAATGGCTTTGAAAACTAAACCAAAATATTGTACATATATGCATTTATAAATCAAGTATAAGGTATTACACATTTTTATAAATCATTGGTATTTAGTTTTTTAGGTATTCAGGTAATTTATTATAATATCATAATTCATAAGTAATTATAATTTTTTGTAGCTATTTACCCATCGAAAATGTTTATGAATTGTCTATAAAAAAAAAACATGAAAATGTTGTATTATATATAGTTGTCGGATGCTTACCGGGGGAAACTATAATTTAGAGATTGATTGATCATGCATTTCTGTCTATTATCTCTCACTGGGGTCTCGAGTGCAACTACTTATATATTTGTACTGTGTTGAAACCAAAGCTTGCAAAAACCGAAGGCAGACTTGATAAGACCTTATGGCAGCACTATTCATTTAAGAAGGCCCATTTGTCTTTTAAATGCTCAAAACTGCCATTCCAGTCCTATGTCACACCTGAACTTAGGTCAATCAGTTAACGTTTCTTAGCTCTTAGGCTTGAAATTGCTGGACTGCAGCCATCCACTGGTTTGCAGCCATGGTGATCACACTTTACACAACAAAACAATGTTACTACTAACAAACCGTCGTAAACAAAAAACTTTCTACCAATTTATTGTTTAGTCTATTTTAACGGTTTATAGGCATTACGCTTGGTGGGTCGCGTGGCGAGCGTGGAACAGTGGTGGGGCTTATATACCCACCTGACGCGGCCCTCCGAGCTACCGCCGCTATCGGACTTGCACCTCTTCAAGTTGGGTATCAAACCCATGTGGGAGGACCCTGCTAACGTTAATGGCGGCAAATGGGTATGTTGACAATTAAATGTTTATATTTCGCACCTTCAAAAATATACGGACTGAGTATAAAATTTGATCCGCTATGTCCATCCGTATTCACATTTTAGGTGGCTGTTTTGCACACATATCTATAGTCGAGTAAAAGTGACTTTTGTTGGAGATGCTTGTGCAGGATAAATTTGTCTGATTGAATACAAGGAATTTTGTATTAAAAAAAAATTCAAACTACCTTTCCGCCAGCTGCTTCGCCTACGTGGTCTTGTATTATACATTAAAACCTTCCTTTTGAATCACCCTAAGTAAGAAAAAAAAAACTGCAAAAATCCGTTGCATAGTTTTAAAGATTTAAGCATACATAGGGAGGGATATAGGGACAGAGAAAGCGACTTTATTTTATACTATGTAGTGATGTGATTAATCCAGTATATCACCACCACCAGCCCTTTTACGTCCCCACTGCAGGGGCTCAGGCCTTCCTTATGGATGGTTAAGGAGGATGGGCCATGACCCTCAACGCTGGCCCAATGCGGATTGGAGGGTATTGACGACTGCAAATGCAGCCGGGACCAACGGCTTAACGTGCCTTCCGAAGCACGGAGTAGCTCGAGTTAATAATTTTTTGGTCACCCATCCCGTGACCGACCCTTGCGAAAGTTGCTTAACGACTACGATCGCGGGCCGCGGCGCTTATCCACTACGCCACCGAGCTACTCCAATTTATATCAGTTCTGTTATTTTAATTAAAAAAAAAGCATTTGGTAGATAGTGATGAAATTAGAATGCTCAGATAATGGATGGATTTTAGAGAAGGGAGTCATCTACCTTTAACCATTATAGTTGCATCAGAGATAATGCATAACTATATATTTTGCTGTTGGCTATACATTTTTATTATCTATTTGTAGACAGAAAGATAATATGTATAAATGGATAGGTTTTTACAGTAAGTTGTTATTTTATAGATGTTAATTGCAACCAAAACGAATATTAATATAAATTGTTTCAACATAGGTGGTTAGATTGCGTAAGGCGCAGACGGGGCGCGCGTGGGAGGACCTCTGCATGGCGATGTTGGGGGAACAGTTCATGGTGGGCGCCGAGCTGTGTGGCGTTGTATTATCCGTTCGCTTTCAGGTAAAATATTATGAAATGTGCATTTTCTGATATTTTCTGGTTAATAAATAAATATAAAATAGGGATGGCTACTGATGAAAAAAATATATTGAACCGTCACTCAGATAATAGAAAAATATGAGATACGTTTTTTTTTTCAATTTAACCAATGCTTAGGTAATAGGCATTAAAGTTGAGGAGTGGGGGCTCGCTACGTTACAGTTTTGTAGAAAATGTACATAAGCGTGACGTCATTTCAATTCAACGTATCGCCATAATTTATTGATAATACGTATTTAATATTCTTCAATAATCTACCTCATGGACAAACAAATAAAAATTAGTCGTCATCCCTATTGACAAGGTTCATTTATACGGGGTATTTAAAAACCGCCAGTTTTTTCGCCGAAAACTGATTGTACCGTTTACATGGAGTCTGTTATGCAGGAGTCAGTAGTTACTGACTATTAGTGAATTTGACTTTAGTTATCTTGAACTTTATGTCGACTTTTATTATTTATATTGGTGGGGACTTGCTACGTCACAATTTTGTAGCAAATGTACAAAAGCGTGAAGTAATGCGATATTACAATCAATGTATTGCTGTAATTTATTGATTACGCTAAAAATAAAACAATTTGTGTTTTATAATTTAATAATTTAGCTTCTCGTTGTGAAAGAATTTCTTAAATCGGTCCTGTGTAGACTTATTCGATGCAAACAAACGATCAATTCTTTCTTCTATATAATATCAGTATAGATTTGGAGCAGTGTTTCACGATGTACGTTGTATTGCAGGAAGACCACCTGGCGGTGTGGCATCGGACCGCGTCGGACACGGTCGCCGCCGCTCGGGTGCGCGACGCGTTGCGACGCATCTTGCAGCTCCCTCTGTCGGTGCCCATCGAGTACAAGGCGCACGGCGACTGCCTGCGCGCGTCCGCCTCCCGCTCGCACGACCACGACAACCACGAGCCCCACCCCCCCCATCCCCCCCACCCGCAGCCGCAGGCCCGCTCCACGTAGCGCACGCCCCCCCTCGCCCCCTCACTCGTTTCACATCCCTCCTTCGTTGCCCCGGTTCCATTTCCGATTGTCCTACCGCTCCAATGTATTTGACGAATGTGGTTCCTTTGCGTTATTCTAGTTTGGTTTGGGGCTCTTCTCAGATGGAGCTAAAGAATTGGTTACAAATTGAAATTACTAACGAGTTCCTTTCTCCTTCGAGCATCACCGTGTATTCTGACAAACAAGTTACAGAGTGAGCATACGAGTGACCAGTCTTGCCAGTTGTGATGTCAAAAGTTCCTGAGATTCCAGATAGAAACAATTTTTTTTAAATTAATGAGCAAAACTTAATACTTGTTAGGAGTTTATACTTGTACTTACTGATTCGTTTTGACATTTTTAAATAGCTCCATGTGAGAAAGGCCTCAGTCGTTGAATTAGTTGTTAATGGCCCAGTTTGAGATTTATTCCAATGTTTATGGATAATGTAATAACCGCATGAAAAGCACGTTATCTGCTATTTAATACTCTTGTTATATTTCCCTGATGGTTATGTACAAAGTTGGAATTAATTTATCTTGTCGAGTTAATTTAAATATCCAAATGCAATTGTAATGTAATTTTTTTTAATGAAATTTGTCTTTTGTATTGATAAGAGTCCTTTCGTTACGTAATTCGGGGGGGCCTGAAGCATTTTACTATGTACTGGTTTTTAATATAACGAATAAGCTCATTCGAATCAATGATATCGGTCGAGTGTCTCCAGTTCCTAGTCAAGATGTTGAGTAAAGCTGCCATTTTAAATCTTCCGGTCGAACATTGTACTGTGAAATTGAGTGAGAATAAGCGTTAAGTTGATCCCGAGCGATTGTATTCGGTTCAGCGGTCTTAAACTAGTTTTCCGAGCGATGTACATATAGTGGAATTGAAGTATTGTTATACGAGGCCGCTATATAATCGAAACGTCGCACACACCCGCTCCTAACTCCGTGTACAGTAAAAAGAACTGCGTTGAAAAAAAAAAGAAATAAAGAATCGACTTTGTATACTTTCCATGATTGTTTTTTTTTTTCATAATTATACCTTGTCATCTTTACGCCTCGAGTAAGTTCCAACGATTATGGCGCTTGGTGAATTTTCCTTTGTGCAGAGATTTTCAACCAATTTCGACGATAAGGAAACGTACGCCTTAAAAAAATTAAATAAAAAAAAAATATATATATATATATATATATATATATATATATATATATATATATATATATACAGATCTATCAAGACAAAACTATCAATTTTTTTGTGCCAAACTGCTTGTAGTTTGTTATTGGAATAAGGTTATCAATATAAAAAAAAATTCATATCATTCATCGTTCATATTCAGAATGGTTCGTATTTGACAAATAACATTAAGGTTTGTTTAAACATCAAAATAAGCTATTTATTCAGTTTTACTAAAAAACGAGGCCGAAGTCGGTACTGTGGTTTAAACCAGTTTATATCATTGGCCACCTAAAGTAAATGAAATATTTTAAGGAAAAAAAGAAAGCACTTCACTAGATGGCGACTCTAGCAAAGGTTGATTTTTGCAGGAAACGAATGGACTAAAGATAGTAATTTCCGTTCCTTTTAACTAACATTACTCGTAAAAAACTGAAATTTGCAAAGTTCGAAACTTAGATATCAAAACAAATACTAAATAAAAGTACAAATAGATTATGAGTAGTTTATTGAGTTTTGAAAATGAATTTACTTTTATACGTGAAGAAAACCGGAAGGGTTGTCACGGAGAAATCAAAAAAGTATCTAGTACATCTAGTTTGAATTCGAGAATTTATGTTTTTTTTTAAATACTTCATTGACAATGACAGAAGATTTGGTTGGATAATGGTTTAAATTTGGTGGTATATCAAAATAAACACAAATTTGTATAAAATATATTTTAATACGTACATCAAAGACATTGCTAAAATTAAAAATATAAATGATAATTTTTCTTACCAACGTTAGGTCATCCGTTGATTACTACACACGATATACTTTGATAAACGTAAGTCGTAATGTCTACACTAAGCACTACAGAATCTAAAAGATAGCTACCCAATGTACAGATATTTTTTTACACTAAAGCTGTGAACACACGGGCCTCAAAGATAACAAAGGTTGAGTTTAATTTGCCAAGCTATATTTTCCCGTAACGCAATATAGCCAGCAACACAATCGGGTTATTTTAATCTGAAAAGGATTGCTTGTAAATTAATAGGTTTCTTTTTAAAGTTATCCTTTATCAAGAATAGTATTTCAAATGTAAAGAGAAGAAGTTTCCATAACATACAGTCTGTGTCTAACTCTAGAGGTTTAATTTCGAAGTAAATTTACGTTTGCACTTTAGTCAAAATTTGTATTATTTAACTCACTGAGCAAACATACTAGTCTTTTATTAGTAAATATTACTCCCAAATTAACCTCGTATTAATTTAAACTTTGCTCAGTCTCTGTTTATGATTTATTACTAACTCGTATCCAGGTACAGTCGCGAGAAGTAGTTGGCTGAGAAAATGATATAACTTACGTAGATATTTTTGACTAATAGACGAGAATTTGAATGAAGTAATAGCCAATAATAATAGTGTTCTTACTATTAACAGTTCTTACGTTATTCAAATTCTTGTTTATTTCCTAAAAATATTTACTTTTACTAGATTATAAATACGGGTGTAGTTGCAACCGTTGCTTAAGTTTACCCAGACGCTAAACCTTATCTACTAGAATACTGTTGCAAGCTTATTCTGAATGTGCCATTTGAAAAAAAGGAACGCTCCTAATCTTTAATTAAAAAAGTACAAAGTGAATTAAAAATTTGTGTGTTCACAACCTAAAACTGACATCGACACAAAAAAAGTCTTTATCTTAGCCTATACTATTTACATTTGGCAACTTGACTTATTCTATGTGTTCTTGATATGCACTCGGCATAGGTAAACCATGTTCACACTGATTTCCCATTGATATTTTCAATCAATAATTAATTACTACAGATCACAATGTTACAATGATATTGAGACAATATAGACAAACTTTGTTTTCAATTGTGCCCTTAAAATTTAACCAAAAAATTTGTTCTTAGCAATTTTGTAAGTTAAAATTCATTGAGTATAATATAATTTATTCAATTTCCAATGAGATCATTAACTACTTGTTAATGAGATTTTAGTTTTTCAATCTGACAATTAAATTGTTTTGATAGTGGCAACACTAGAAGTTTTTTTATGGTCGAAATACTTTTCTATTGCGAAGTAGGTTTACCAAAAGCTGTGTAATTATTCAAAACACATGTCTTTTACTATGGCACGGGATTTCTTGCCACCACTACTCGCTAAAGCCGCGTAAACACATGAGAGTTATGAAATGTGCCAGTGTAGCGTGTAGTGTTTGATTAAAAATTATTAAAGATAAATACTAGCGTTCTCAAAGAAAATCTGGCAAGGTTACGTAGGAGGACTAATGGAAGATATCCACATCTTCGTTTTATTATATAAAACCGAATACACATATCATAACATCTGACGTCAGTAGGCGGCCCAACTTAACTATAACTTAAAAAGTGACATATACTTACAACACTAAGCATTAAATCTAAATTCATTGCTTCAATTTCATCGTCATTTAGCACTTGACTTTCAAATAAAATAAGAATACAATTAATAAAGTCATAAACTAAGGCTACATGAATTGCGATTTATATGATGCGATTGACAACTCCAATTACTATTAATGTTCCATTATAAGTTTTAGTGAAGAATATGCGACTGTGACAGAATAACATCAAAGCGTCGCTTTTTTTACATCAAAATTTTCGAAATATACCACTTATATGAGTGCATTATTAAGTAGTAGCGATAAGACCTTTGTCAATGTACACATAAGTCTCAAAATAGATAAATGAAACAATAAAAAACGGAGCTTTAAACATCGTATTCTGTCCGAGGATACCAGGTGGATTTACCGCGTAACTGAAGTTCTGATTGATCTGTCAAAATGAAACCGTGTATGATTTTAAGTTGTCGTGTGAACTGTCAGCAGACCAATCAGGAGGATGGGCCTGTCCAATCCTAGAGGAGGGATATCTTTTGAAACATCAATCAGGTGTGTAGTTACGCGACAGAGCCTTCATAAGAATTTTTGTTCTTATTCCAACTGTTATAAAGGTGTTTATACACTGTGATTTTTAAATAGCCGAATAAAAGTACTTATGAGATGAACTAATGTTACAATAATAATATTATAAAGAGTAAATAAAGATTTTGGATATATTTGTTTGTTTGCAATGGATCAACTTCCACTGGATCAATTCATAAATTAGGCAATAAAAGTTCGAGTGTTAAATAGATAAAGTAAAACACAGTGTATAAAAATGCACCACGACGTATATAGGACGTAATTCGTGGATGGCCATACTGATTTTAATACTAATAAAAATAAATGCCAGTCTTACTATTTACGGAGTTCTATACACTATCTGATTAGATATGTAATCAATGATTTCAACTTTAAACAATACAGCGACATCTGTAAGGAAAACATTATAACTAACTTTTAACGACTTTACCGACCGCTGTCGACAGATGGCGTTTGTCATGAAATTATCTTTATATGATCGATGATACAAATAATTTCAACTTGAATTCGGTTTCATGTCAAACTAATTTATAATGTTTTCTAAACAGGTGGTGACATATTTTGTTACCGTTTCATCAGTGCAGATTAGGGTACTAGGAGTCAGAAGAAGTCTCCTGCAGCAAGTAACATTTCTGCTAATATACAAAATGAACGAATATTTAATTATTTCTTTTTTAGTGTTTTAAAATTAATAAGTGCAATTTACCTAGAAGCAAATAAAAACAAATAACCCCACTTGAGTAACATTAGGTATAAATGGCCAATTAATAAAAACGAAGCTGAATAATTAATATGCGAGATATAAATAGATTTAAAAATAAATTATTCACTACAAATATTAAAAAAAAAATCAAAACGTTTCCCTAAACAGCTAAACAACATTTAAGCTAAAAAATATAATTTCACTATTTAAATAGTTCATAGTTGCGCGACATCAGACAATACATATAATGTTTATAAAATGTTAAAACAAAACTATATACATTCGGCTATTCACATAGCATTATTTTATATAAACAACTTGTACTTTTGTATTAATTTGTTATCAAGAAAAATATACATATATATATATATATGTGTGTGGTTACACTAACACGACATTCTTGTTCCTCATTTATATACTGTGAATTGATTTAATAAGCAAAAATTTATTCAACAATCACACGTAACACATCCGCTAAATTACGTAATAAAAACGATTAATCTAAAAATATACCTTCATTGAACAATAATTATTGCTACGCTTCGTGATCTACACCAAACAATACACCATTGAGCGTGTAAAGGCCATTGCACACTTTGAGTTGCTACGTCACAACACACACTTTAATAATAATCTGCATAAATATATTTTTTTTTTCAATTAAAACTTTGAAACTGTTTCACCGATTTGGATGCAATTGTGCACACCGTGTGCAATTCATTTCATATTAATTAATGATTTTAATATTTTAAAGCAAACAAAAGTAGGAGAAATTTTCCATAAATGGCATAGTTTAAGATTTTCTTGATAATTGCAACACTAGGGGTGTAATGACCTCAAGCAATATAAGTAGAATCACATAACACACGTTAAGTTGAATAATTTATTTATCTAAACTAAGTAAAGTCCAAAAATGTACTATAATACATTTAAAATAGTGCTGTGTTCTCAATATTTTATATTTGTTACCAAATCTTGAATACGTGGCATGTGAAGACTCTCTATGAAGACATTAATGGATCTCTGTATTACTATAAGACGTCATCCATTTATTACATGTTCAAAATTTTCTGGTCAAAATCAGGCCAGTATTTGAACCTGAACCATGTAAGAAAACAAAGAATCATCCGACTAGAGAAGTCGAATTTGCCCCTATTGAATTATTAAGACGAAAATATATATATATATATATATATATATATATATATATATATATATATATATATATATATTTTAAATATATATTTAAGAAACTAGATTTACTTTTACAAAATTATGGAGAAATCATTGTGTCTCAGGAACTTGAAATATTAACAATTATCATTGGATTTACACGGGCAATCCGAGAGGGCTGGGAACCCTAATCACAGAGCTTAACAAATTCTAGGTACACCCAAGGTACAGATACTAAAATGTTACATTTGCTGGTTTTCTGATACTTGAGAAGAATAAAACCCCTTATCTTCCCTTGTGAGAAAAAATAAGACACGATCGACCCCCTAAATCATCTCCAGTAATAAATGGTCAACGCCTACTCTAGGCAATCAGTTTTAACATAACGGTATTCAGTAAACATCATTTAATAATCCTTCGTTCTTCAAAGATAAAATTGACTGTGCACTTATAACTAAAAAGAAACCAATGCCAGTAGCTTTTAAATTCCTTTAGCCTGTTGCAACATAGCTTTAAGCAGAATTATTTATACAACAAGTTCTTGAATTCTGCAAATAATTGAACAAGTTCTACAACTGAAAAATGTATTTTCAAAATGTTTTCTATTCATAAATCCATTTCTGGGGAATAATGATATTAGAATATTTACAATATAAGACCACATTTTCAGAGACTATTTAGTTTTTGATTCATTTAAATCGACAACCTACTAATGGAGTATTAGTAGGTATTAGTACCTAAGTCATTAAAATATGAAATAGACGTCAACGTCCAAAGCAAACATATTAATTAGACTAATTATTTTTATAATAAGTTAAAATGCGTCGTCAACATGTCCATTATTGCATTTTGAATTAAAATATTTTTTCTTTGAACATAGTGTGTATGTTTATAGATTCTTAAGGCATGGGCTATTAGCGGACAGCGGTGTTTTAACTTTTAATACAGACTCAGGCATATATCACAAACGGATACATTTATTAAAAAAACCTATTTCGTTATAAAGGAAATCTGGATATATAAGCGTGTACGATACCGGTAACTGTTTCACAGACTAACAAACTATCTCATAGTTTAATTAAGGGCTGACCCCCGGGCGTCAGCAGTACACTGAAAAATAGGCATTTAAAGTTACGACTGGAACTCGAATAGACAATATTTATACAGTAAAAATATACTTGACCCATCATCTGTTATAAGGTAAATATTAATTCGCAACGGATTTCGACTGCTACCCCAAACGTGTTAAGATTTAAAATCGTCTGGCAACATTTCAAGTGTCATCAGTGATCGTTAACTAATCGGTCTCTGAATATGCGTCAACAGTCATCTGCGTGTACGGTGCGAGGTGGGGCGTTGCCCCCCCGAGTCTAAACCGCGAATTGGAACAATAAAATTTGCGTTTTCGAATTTTTCATACCTTACAGGTTTGAATCGGGCTGCATTTTTAGTAGTTTAAAAACGATTTAGCGAAAAACAACTAGATATAGCAATAAGGGTTAAAAAAGTAGAATGCCTATAATTTATTTATTTATCACATATTCAATCTGAAATATGTGAATTATTTTAGTATTCGCACTTTTCTTTCGCTTTGCGTTCAAAATTTGATTATAAATAGTGATTTGTTAACTCACACAACATAAAAACTTCTCGGTTTATCGTATTTGCTATTAGTGCAATTTAGGCTCGGGACGGCAGGGCGGGCGCAGTCACAGGTCGATGAGGGGCAGGTCCCCCGGGGGTCAGCAGGCGGGGGGCAGGTCGTGTATGAGGAGGGGGGCGTCGGGGGACATGCGCGCGGGGGGGCGCTGCGCCGCCACACGCTCGAGGACGCAAGACGCGGACAGACGCGCCTCCGCGTCGTGGTCCCAACACTCCTCCATCGTGTCGCATAGGACGGACAGACCCTAACACGGAGGAGAAATTACTCATTTTAATGTTTGATTATATTCCATCAATTTTGCGTTTACAATGCTATACTGAAAAATATTCTTAGTGAAAAATGCTTAAAAAATCCTCTTGTCCTTGGTACCCTGAGATGGGATTTGATTGTGTATCTCAGAGTGCCAGGAATAAAGAGAATTTTTGAAGCATATTTCATTAAGAATTTTATTGTTTGTTCAATTTTTCATTCATAATGCACCTGGAACGATGGGATTTTGAAATATGTTTCCATAAGACATTATCACCAGACTATTGATATCTCCACTGCTGGGACTCGGGCAAATTTTTTTTCAAGCAAATTAAAAATAGGCGGACGCAGATTGGTTAGGTATGTAATGACAGATGCAGCCGGTAACAACGGCTTGACGTGCCTTCCGAAGGGGCTCGAGATAATAAACATTTGGCAGTCCTATAACCGGTCATTGCGAAACTTGCTTAACAACTAGCGAGTACCTCCACGATGCACTAACAACTGCGCTATAGAGGTTCATCACAATGAGGTATATTATGTTAGAATTTTATTTAGTTGTATTCAGAGAGCCAATACATAAATGGATATCAATCTATTTATCTTCAATCCGGAATCATCATCAAGTTCTTAATGTGTCTATAAAAATAAGGCGAATCTACCACAATCAAGCAAGTCTAATATGGATTGGTGGGTGCCAACAAATATACAGCCAGGACCTGTGGCTTAACGTGTATTCCTAAATTAAATATAGTACAATCTATATGGCGGTTGCAATAACCTTGTTTTGTCAAGATCTCTATAAATATAAGGTACATGATAGCAATTATCTAAATAACTATTCCAATGCAAACGATCGTGAAAGTTTAAAACAACATAAGTTTGTGGAGTTTTCTAACTAACCGAATGTTCCCGCCATTGTGCAGGTATGTGCGGACGCAGTTTCCGCTGCACGACTGTCTCCTGCATCTCCTCTAGCGTGGGATGCGAGCCGACCTCATCTTCCAGAGGCAACCGGTACTGCGACGAGGAATCGGCACCGGCTTCATTGCACCTAATAACAAATATATCACATACATCTCTGATCTCAAACCAAGTTAAATCAATATAATTTCATCATCATCACCAGCCCTTTTACGTCCCCACTGCAGGGGCTCAGGTCTTCCTTATGGATGGTTAAGGAGGATGGGCGGCCAACAGCTTAACGTGCCTTCCGAAGCACGGAGTAGCTCGAGATAATAATTTTTTGGCCATCTTTCCCGTGACCGACCCTTGCGAAAGTTGCTTAACGAATACGATCGCGGGCCGCGGCGCTTATCCACTACGCCACCGAGCTACTCCAATTTTGAGTAGCTCGGTGGCAATATAATTTATTCAGTCTATAATTTATTCAGGTTGTTACAAGCACTTGTGAAATTCGAAACTATATGCCATCTGTTCGCAAATTTATAGAGACCTGTGTACCAAAGAGAACCAGCAAAAAATTCAAGGGCTCCTTATTTCTATGTAAAACACTCATATGTTTGCCATCGCCTGTCGCTTACCAGCGGCAGGGGTAGTGCCTAATGAATTTCCTTGACGTAAAAAAAGGGTGTAAGTCACATTGGAATGATTTGAACACAGCAATGTGTAACTAAACAACGGATAACTAGAGCTTCTGTGGACGAGGACACATTATTATAAATGAAAAATAGACAAAAAGTTTCAAAAAGTTATCGTAAGATCTACAAAGACATATATTCTACTTTTTTGGCCTGACAAACTTTTATTATTACAGTGATAGTCATCACAAAACTAATATGTGCAAGTATTTTATGTTTTGATAATGCATATCTTACACCAAAGAGAGTTATACATATGATCTGATCTGGTTATAAATATAAATGCTATTAAATCGAGTGTGAATTTAGTTTTCGCTAACAGACGAAAGTATTTATGGTGTATAATTCATTACGGTATTATATAAATTGCCTAATGACAAAGACGACTAAAAAAAACCCGGCGAAGTGCGAATCGGACTTTCGTCGTCGCGCACGAAGGTACTCTTCTCTTCATTCTCTTAAAAAAATTCTCTTCATTCCGTATCGAAATCGAGCAAAATAAACCATGTTTTTTGTATGGGAACCGCCATAAATATTAATTTTACTCTGTTTTTTATTATTTGTTGTTATAGCGACAACAGAAATACATCATCTTTGAATATTACAACTGTCTATCACGGTTCATGAGATAGCCTGGTGTCATACGGACAGACACAAAGTTTTTAGTGATTGGGTTCCAAACAACTGCAAAAATCAATGAAAAGTAGCTTCGCATTCAATTAGGTAAATAAAAACAAATGCAAATACATGCTAACAAATAGCCAACACAAAAGCATTTGGGATATTTTCTTTTTAAACACATTTTTTTTAAAGCATGTTGACTTGAAATATGAATATCAAATATCAGTAACAACATAAAATTCATACATCAATATAATTGAAATTATTTTGCAGTTAATCAGTTCATGTTGCAACACATGCTGGATCATGTTACAGTAAACAGTATAGGAAAGAATAATAAGTAGAAATATGACGTGATGTACCTAATACATACTGATTTTATTATTTATTTTGTTTCTAAAGTGCTAAACAGCTGGGCAGATTATTTGAAATAAATTGTCACATTTAAAGTAGTTCGAGGCGTGACGAAAGACATGACTGATTTTTTCCAAAACTTCAACAATAAACTCCCATGATACATTCCAAATTGCGGGTAACTTCTGCAACTTCGCACACATAAATATTGGCTTATGTCATCCGCGTATGATGTAGCTTTCCATAGGTTTTAAAATCATCGCTGTAGTTTCGGAGCGTATCAAAGTAAACAAACCGTTGCACTTTATAATATTAGTATAGATAGACTCACGGGACTATTACCTTCTTATATGCCTCTGGCTCAATGTGAGCTTTAAGTTATAACAGTAATTCAACAGTCTGTTCAAGTTATCATAAACAATCGAAATACCAACTTTTTTTACTATCTTTGGTGTCATTCCCTTCCAAAGTAATATCCAACTTCAAATTGACATTTTAAGTGATTCACAAATTGCTTTTTTTATGTAATCTTTCTTTAATGCATAAGTTTTTCAGTAACTTTTAAAGTTAAATGATATCTAGGTGTAAGTTAAGACCTTTATCTAGTAAAGAGAAATAGAAATGTGACTGTCCATGTTAGTCTTAATAATTAGTAGAATTAGTCTCTGAGCTTGCATCAACGCTCTTGAAAGGAGGCATCATCATTACTTACTTAATTTAAGGGGGCCTTGTTAAAAAAATATATGCTTACCGAGATGCGATCTCCCATAAGACAAGCGCGCAGGCGTACATGTCTATTCTCAAGAAAGCATCTTTTGTAAAATTAATAGCTCCATCTAATACTTCCGGGGCCATGTACCGTCTAGTACCAACTTGCCCATGGGCATCACCGCAGCCTCTGCCAGCTACAAACACTAAGGCAAGTCCAAAATCAGCTATGCAAGCGCTCATGTCAGATTTTAGAAGGACATTTTTAGACTTGAAATCTCTATGTGCCACAGCAGGTTTCCCACCACCTTCTTCGTGAAGATGCGCAAGACCGCGGGCGACGCATACAGCTACACGCCAAGCCTCCGCCCATGTCAATGTGTGCGCTTTTAGGTAATCACACAATGAACCCTACAAAGAAATAATAATAGTTAACACTGGCAAAAATTGTCTTATGTAATAAATGAATTACACTGAGTGCCAATATTTTTTAACTGCAATCCAATTAAATTATATACGACAATGTATCACAGAATCCTGTAAGTTGAGTATGCTTCCCATCTAGTGTCAAATGCATTTTTAAGCGATACAATAAATTATTCTATTAAACATTTAGTATTCATTTTTAAATTATATTATATTAGTTGTTTTCCCGCGACTTCGCACGCGTTAATTATAGCCTATGTCAACCCTGTATATGGCAGCTGGCTGTAGGTGAAAGAATTTTTAAAATCTATCTTGTAGTTTTGGAACCTATTTGACAAACAAACAATCAAATCTTTATAATATATACGTATAGATATAATATGTACCTATTTAAAATTCACAAATACAGTTAGACAAGAATAATTAACTAAAGTTTACCTTCTCATGATAAGCGGTGATGAGCCAGTATTCAGCTTGAAGATTATCACCTTTCTTGTCAACTCCAATATAATGTAAAATATCCGGGTGGTCCATTCTGGCTAGTCTATAAATTTCTTGTTCAGCTAGCCAAGACTGTTTGTCTTGAAGTGGAAAGACTTTCACGGCAACATCAAGGGGACCCAATTTAGCTCTCCATACAGCCCCAAATCTACCTCTAGCTCGGACTTCACATAACGACACCTGCCCAACTAATCCCCCATTCTCATTTTCCATCCCTCCTCCAGCTGATGGTGGTCTTGATAAAGAAGCTTCCCCATTAGCAAGTTCAGCAAATGAACTGCCTTTACGTCTCCGATATAAAAAGTAGCAAGCAATCAAAATAGCAAACAATAGGAAAAGAGGTGTTAAAGTATATGCAATCACTGCTTTGGTATCATCGGTTACCGGAACAACAGAAGCTGGTATTAGTTCAGGAGGAGATTCGGTCTGTGCCATTATAACATCCAAGCCTGGGAATGTTGCATTTTTATTACACATATCTCCTTCACAGCAGCAATGGAGTAGCGGTAGTTTCATATTATGCAACCTACATTGGTGACTTCTGTCCATGCACGAGACAGTATCAAGAAAGCATCCTTTGAATTTAAGTTTTGCTGTATTTGTTTCATTGTCATATTGCCATAAAACAAAACAATGGGTACTTTTGTCAGTCTCGGTCGGTTGACATTCTTCAACATTAGTGGCAGAGAGACAGTCTGAGTCATTTGTGGTGTCACAGAGTGGTTTGGTGCCATTGTAAAAATCACAGAACTTTGTTGTTATTCCACCTTCTTTTGGTCGAGGTGGTAAATTTTCATCAACTGGAGGTGCAGCTACAGCTATAGTAATAACACCTAAAAGGAGATTGTATAGGTAAATTCTTTGGTCATTATATTGAATCAAAGTACAACTAACATGAATTCTCAGGATAGCAATAAACAATTCAACATCATCTTAAAAGACACAGAGTAATGTTTGATGGATTACGAGCTATAAATACTATTTATAAACTAAGAATATAACAAAATATTCTACATTGAGGAAAGCTTAAGCTAAATCAATTCATGTATTTACCTATAAATAACAACAATATCTCCAGAGTAAATTGTTGGGACATTTTGAGAATCATGGCGCAGGCGAGTCTGGTAGCCCTCGACGATCCAATGTTATTTTTATACGCGGTCCCGACATGAAATGTCTGTTCTATTTAGGAAATTCCAATATAAGTACATGACAGACAAACAACGCACATTAAAACGACACTAGCTAAAACACAATCACATCACAGCAGTACGCTTTAGTAGGTTTTAAATAACGTAAAGTAATTTTTTTCTAATATAATTAGTCTAATAGCACTGATTTCCCTTGATTTTGGAAAACAAAAAATAGCTTTTATTAGCACTCTCCAACCAAGCCACAGATTCTTGACATTTGTGATTAAGGATGCGCCCCACAAATAGGGATAAACGATATATCAAAAAAACTGATACACCTATACTTATATATTTATATATCGACGCTCAAAAATATCGATATCGAAGGACCAGTGATATTAATATCGTAAAAACCAATATACCTATCTAAACCTAATATCGAATAAAATCCTAAGGCTAAGTATATATCAGTTGTCCAAATTTTAACGTCCAACTAACGGCATTTTATATGTGATGTTATATTATTAACACGTGTGACATTATTTTGTAACCTGATTTTTGCTTTGAAAGTTATAGTATTTTTTGCAAAATTCTCGAATAAGTAGAAACAAGCTTAGTAGCCTCCACTAATTATTGGCAGATTAAATATATTTTATTTACATAACGTTTTGTCAAACAAGATTTTTGAAATTACTTAAGATTCAAGGAATATTAGGTCCTTACAAATGAAATTGGCGTTTTGTCGAACTGGCCACTTTAATCACAAATTTCTCCTCCTTGGTTGGGAATTCCAAATTGAAATTTATACATGCCATATACACATGTATTTGTGTTTCGCCATATAGTGATTTAATAATTCGTCTAAAAGAAAATATGATCAAACGATGGTCTATATCCCTAGCTAATTCACGTCTTACTAGGGGTAAATGGCATGCCGAAATTGTCCCTGTGCCCACCACTAAAGCCTAGTTTGAGAAATTGACTACCCCGAATAGGAACTTCAGTTTCGCTTGCCAAACTCTAACATCATTTTGTAGATTAAGAATAGGTCATTGTAAATTCCCATCCCATCTTCACCACCTCGGATTAAGCGACAGTGCATTGTGTAAATATTGTACAGAGGCAATATGTGACCTTCAGCATTTATTTTTTAATTATAAATATTTTAACTTGCAGCGCCTTCTTTTTGTTTCTTTGTGTACAGATTATCTAAAAAACAAAATTTTTCCAAAAAATGTGCAGGACATGCCGAAAATAGTTGATTTGTATGTAATAATTTACCATTTTTATAGTAATACTTTTGGTCTTCTGTAAATGATTATATCAAATTTGATTCTTCTTTCTTACATTTAATATTTACATTATTTTATTTAATATTTATATAATATAATTTTAAGGGTTTTTTAGTCTAAGGATTATGATTAGTAGTGTTTAGTTCTAATTATATGTATGCACTAAAGGATTAAGCTGATGGCCTTGGTATCCAATGCTCTTAATAATAATAAAAAAAAAGTGTTTCGTTAGGCGGCATTAATTTGTTTTTTCTTCTGTTTGTCCTGTTTACGTCACCCAGTATAAAAAAATGGAAAACTTGAAATATCGTGTTATTTACGAGTGGTACCACCATGGTACCAGTGCTGCGGAAACGGCTCGAAGGGTTAATGATGTGTATGGCGGTTGTGTCGCAAAAGAAAACACAGTGCGTTTTTTGGTTCCAACGTTTTCGTTCTGGAAATTTCGACCTGCAGAACAAGCCCCGTGGACGGCCGGAGACCAAAGTTAATAATAAAGAATTAAAGGCTATTGTGGAAGCGGATCCATCGCAAACCACGTCCGAGTTAGCTACAGGCTGCAGTGTTAGTGATAAAACTGTTTTAATCCACTTGAAGCAAATTGGAAAGATTAAAAAGCTTGAAAAGTGGGTACCTCACGAATTGAGTGAAGCTAACCGGCAAACGCGCTTCGAATGCTACGTTACATTACTTAACCGGCACAATAATGTTGAGTTTATAAATCGAATTATTACCTGTGATGAAAATCGAATTCTCTACGAAAATCGGAAGCGCTCATCGCAATGGTCGGACCTTGGCATGTCAGCCAAATCCTGCCCCAAGCAAAAATTGACCCCAAAAAATTTACTCGTAAGCGTTTGGTGGACTAGAGCCGGTGTCGTTCATTACAGTTTTCTCAAATGTGGCCAGACTATTAAGGCAGACGTCTTTTGTCAGCGATTGCAAACCGAGGCTGGTCAATCGCTCTACGCCACTGCTACTTCACGACAGCGTTAGACCACACAATACACACCAGAGGGCTACCAAATGAGAAGAGCTTAAATTGGAATGTTAGACATCCATCGTACTCCCCGGACCTTGCTCCAACAGATTACTTTTGTCAGCGATTGCAAACCGAGGCTGGTCAATCGCTCTACGCCACTGCTACTTCACGACAGCGATAAACCATACACTACACACCAGAGGGCTACCAAATGAGAAGAGCTTAAATTGGAATGTCTTAGACATCCATCGTACCCCCGGATTACCATTTTTTCGAAATTTGAATAACTTCTTGCAATGGAAAAAATTCAACTCCGATGGGACAGTGAGAGATTTTATTGATTCTCGTCCGAATGGTTTTTTTAGTAAGGGGATCAATGAACTAGCTATGAGATAGCAAAAGTGCTTAGATAACAATAGTTTATTCTTTGATTAAATAAATATCCCACTTTTTGTTCCCTCCGTACCAAATACTTATTTCATATGTAAAGACCTAATATCGATGTATCGGCTTTGTGATTAAGTCAGATTAACAATAACCGATATATGTCAAACTCAACATATCGATATGTATTGAACTCGATATATTAACATGTTTATGAAACTTGCATCTCTTATGAGTTAATTTATTAATACGCTAAGTAGGTCCATAATAAAAAGGATGTGCGACTCATTAAATCAAGTAGTATACTAAATTACGTAGCATGTTATTTATCATATGTCGATCTTCAAACTGAGCGCGTGCTATAGTAATCACCATCATCATCAGCCCTTTTACGTCCCCACTGCAGGGGCTCAATCCTTCCTTAAGGACGGTTAAGGAGGATGGGCCATGACTCTACACACTGTCCCAATGCAGACTGCAAATGCAGCCGAGACCAACGACTTAACGTGCCTTCCGAAGCACAAAGTAGCTCGCGAAAAATAATTTTCTGGTCACCCATCCCGTAACCGACTCTTGCGAAGGTTGCTTAACAACAACGATTACTTTGAACTTTGTTAAATGAATAAATAAATAAAATAAAACGATCGTAGGCCGGGGCGCTTATCTACTACGCCACCGAGATACTCTACTATAGTAAATAGTGCTATAGTAAACAATATTTTTATTAATATTTCTGGAATAAAAGTAAATTACTATAAAATTAATTTAGTACATTTAGTAGTAAATGAATATAGTCTAGTAATTTTTTTTAAAAATCGGTGACATCAGTCTGCTACGATATCGTAATCTATATAGATTTATCATCCGGTTATTTATCTTTTGGTTTATCAAACCGGAATTTGAATTTCCGAAGAACCACTCATCCATTTTACATCCCTTCATTAAAATTTGTCCTTATATTTATTAACATTATCATTATTCTTAATGAAAAATACTTAATATATGGCTCTCAGCAAGATCGCAAGTCACACGCATAACTGAAGAAAACTAGTTTTCAAAAAATTTCATTCGGGGTCACCAATTTGGAGAATGCGTAGTGTGTGTTCTTCACCGGAATATTGGATAATATCAACGTTAACTTGGATGATTCGGATGTTGTAAATCAAAAGCTTCTTAGATACACCAACAAATTATATAATTTACAGAACACTGGATGTTCTTTTCTTGCGTTGCTAACCGACTCGCTGGGAATATATATAGTCATCAAGTTAAAAGATATAAGCAATATGTAAACTATAGAGTATAATATCTAGGTACATAAATTTCACTACACATAGTCTTTGGACTTCTTCGATATTAGACTATGATTTGTTGTTTTTTTTTGATATCGATATCGATAGTTGTTTCTTCGATATATCATGAGGTGCATACCTACGGAACTGACATTTCAATGACATATATTTGTTTGTTGTACTATTATTTGTTATTTTCTTGGTTTTCAATCTGGTTTTTTTACCAATCCCTTAGTTTAACAATGAAATATTTATGTTTTAATGTGATTTGTCTCTTTTATTTTAATTAAATATGTCTTTCTTTTATTTGACCGCTGTAAAAGGCGAAATACCTGCACATTTATTAGAAACGATCGCCTTGGAGAGGTTATGTTATTTAAAAGAAGTTTTTAATATGAAGGAATTGTGTTATAGTGAATATTTAGTCGAAGGAGGCATGTATGACAACGTGGGTCATTTCCTTTTATGTGTCATAACTATAATTTGTAAAAATATTGAGTTTAAACGATTTATAATGAAGACGGAACGAGATCTATTCGAACAACGATTAAACGCCCTTTGCGTCTATGATTTGAGATGTTTCGCGAAAAAAATTATAAGGAGCATCAAAAAACAGCAGTACACTGCAGAATTTATTGAACCATTAAAGACTTTATGTGAACATTTAATGTTACAAGATTTAGCAAATCATGTTTGCTTAGAATCTCACAAACGTAATTGCAATGATCACCATATACAATTACATTTTAAACATTGCTTATTATTTGTAGCTAAACGTGAGATAGACCTTAAAAATGGAACTGCGTTTATTCCATGTGGAAAATGGAAGCAATTTTTAATTATACTGTTTAGCATTAATTTGAGCTACAAACTGGAAAAATCGAATGTTGAAGCTCTCGAATTTGATCCTCGAATATCAGACCTCCTTAATAAACTAAAAAGTCATATAGATCCACTTTTGAGTAACAATCATAATAATAACTACTTGTTAAATAGTAAACGAGTAGACAAAGAATCAAAAAACTTCCCTCCATGCATGCTGAACATTCATGAAAAATTACGAAAACAACACAGATTACCACATACAGAAAGATTTTACTATACTTTATTTCTCAAAGATATTGGTATGCCAGTTGATCAAGCGATAGACTTTTGGAGATTTGAATATCGACAAGCACCAAATGGGATACACAGCTGCTGTCATAATTGGGAGAAAAATGAAAAGAAATTTGTCTACGGTATCAGACACATGTATGGCTTGGAAGGATGTAGGAGAAACTATACTTCTATGAATTGTCAAAGGATCCAAAGTTTTGATAGTTCTTGCACGTCTGGTGGATGTCCATTTAAGACATTTGATCATACAAAGATGCTAAGTATTTTGAATATGGACTCTAATGAATCGTTATGGTCACAATTATATGAACTGAAATCTAGACATAATTATACAGGAGCATGTATAAAATACATGCAGAGTAGAAATTTAGTTGTAATAAAAAACTGTGACATTGATAATGCTTCCTTTAATTTTACTCCTGTAAAATATTATAAACATGTTTCTCTTAAAACTCATGATGTTATATGATAGTTGCTTATATTTTTTTTCTGTATTCTATTCTAGGGCAGGTTTTAATTTCATTGTAATTTATTATAATTTCGTTTTATGAAGTATGTTTCTACTTTGACACAATTACTTGTTACTGATGTAACATAAAAATATTGTAATATAACTTTCTACAGAGGTTTATATCATGAGATGTTTTATGAAATTGTTAATTTTTTCTTTTTATAAAATAAATATTTCCGCCAGTAGCTTTTATAAACTTCCTCTTGTACCACATTATCTATTGATAAAAACCACTTTAAAATCCATTGTTTACTTTAAAAGATTTTAGTGGACAGACAGCAGGAAGCAACTTTATTTTATCTATGTATATATTTAATTTATTTATTGTAAACAAGGTATAACTGTTAAATAGTGCCTATTACATTTTGATTATATGAAATGTATTATTTTTGAATGTATTTTTAGTGTCACTTTACAAGACTATGCTCAGAACTATGTAGTCATGTTTCGTTATATACTTAGAGTATTCTGTAAGTATATATTGTTCTTCAGAAAGAATATTGATGATGCCTGGGTAAAAAAAAGAAAATTATTTAGTCCTACAGTCAGATATTAAAAATGATTGTCATTTTTTTTTGCTTCAATTTAACATAGATAATTGGCATTAAAGTTGAAGAGTGGGCACTCGCTACGTCACAATTCGTAGAAAATGTACTAAGGTGTGACGTAATGCGATGTTTCAACTCAATATGTAGCCGTAATTTATTGATAACGCATAAAATAAAAAAATACGTTTTTAATGTTCTCCAATAATCTTCCTAACGAACAGATAAACAAATATAATACATTGTTCCTATTGTATTAACTTACAAAATTAAAGGGTAAAAGAATGATTCAGAATGATGTATAACAAATGCGAAACACCTTCATACAAGTTTTGTGTAGTTTCGCTGTAGCATTATGTATTTATGCCCAATATACTAAGTACACCAGACAGCACGTCAGGTTATATTATACAAAGCTGTTACTTTTGATCTGATTTTAAACGTTTATGTATTGAGGATAGAATTGATTATCAATTGCGAGGTACAACGCAAAAATATAATATACACACTGCTGCACGTCAGATAACCACAATGTCAAATTTCTATAATAGAATAGAATAGAAAAGAATAGAATAGAATAAAGTTTATTTGTTCTTCCACATACAGATAACTAGATAATAAAATGTTACTTATCTTAGTCTTTTACAATTTATAGACCTTTATGTGACAGACTGAAATAGGTTTTTATGTAAACCCGTATGACGTGGTCACCAGTGCTCACCATCTCCGGAGAAATATCACTAAAGTCTTATCTATATAAAAAGAAAAAACAAAGTAGAAAGGCAGAAAGTGTTTACTGTACATTGACTTAAAAATGAAAATAAAAGAAGTTGAATAATGCTGATATATCTTTATCTTGTATGTGACTTCATTAGTGTGCGTGTGTGTTTTCTTTGTGCGAGATCTCGTGTGGGAATGCGAAGTATATTTTTGTGTTCTAATGATATAAATATTTAAAGTGGGGGTGTGTTTAGAGAAGGTGTGTGCGTAAGAGTATGAGAGACGGTGAGGTTGAAGTATTAATTGAGTAACTGTTATAAGCGTCACTGCCCTTCCTCTGCAGAATAGACTTGTAGTAAGCAGCAGTTCGGTTTCCTGGTATTTAAGTGACAGCAGCTATTGAGTAATAGTTGTTTTACAAGTTGTGATATATTGATAAGATTGTGTTTATTTTGTTTCGTAGACAAAAAGTAAAACCGGATCTTATTACTAAAAATTTCGCTGTCCGTCCGTTCGTCTTTCACCAGGCTGCTTGAACCGTGAATTTTTCCCAGATGATCTTTTTTGCCGCTATAATAAGTACAAAAATAATAAAATTAATATTTAAGGGGGCTTTAATACAATGAACGTGTTTTTTTTGCGTTTTTTATAGATAATTGGTACTGAACCCTTCGTGCGCGAGTACGATTCGCAATTAGGTGGTTTTGCATTATAAATAAGCGATTTATTTGAATGAAGTTTACTTCATTATGAGCCTTTCAATTTTCATTATTGGTGTATAAGCCTTCCCTAGGGGCGAAATCAAACAAGGAGAAACCTACCTACCACGCGGGTCTAGTCCAGATTTGTGGCTGGTAACGACTAAAGATACAGCTCGGAGCGATGCTGTTGAGAAAAGAACGAAACACATAGTAAAAAAATTTTTGGTCACCCATCCTATGATCGGCCTTCGCGTAAGGTGCTAAACTTCCGTACTATAGACCGAACGCACTATATCCACGGTGCTAATTTCTAAGGGCGCGTTATAACTATAGTTGAAAACGCAAAACTACATACATTGTGGCTCTCATATACAGTCTGGTAAGGCGTCCGCATCTATAGAAGATTATGTACTACAAACCGAAACGTTTCAGAATTGGGTTTACTACTGAAACCGTCCGTCGCGTCTACACGCCTCGCACTCTAGTTCACGGCCACTATCACAATCACTGATAATTCAGTCGTAACTTCTACTAGCTTAAAGGTGGTCGCTAATATGGAAGACTTTCAAGTAGTGTATAACGGTCAAAACTATGACATAAACAAATTTTTGCGGGACCACCCGGGCGGTGTAAACACTTTAAAAAAATATAAAGGCAAATCTATAGTGCAAGCTATGGACTCTTTTGGTCATAGCACTAGTGCGTACCACATGTTGAATGATTTCAAAATTAATGGTGATTTGAAAGATGTGAATGTGACAGGAAAAGTGAGTGTTAACGGTAGGATTATTACTAAAGAGGAGTCCAATAAAAGTTCCGAGGAGATTGCGTTGTTGGAAGAATTAGAGGTAACTTTGCATACTATCAATCGACTATTTCGTGTCTTTTTGGAGAATGATGAGAAATCGAAGGACTAAAATTTGAATTTCGAAACTTATAAAATATAAAAATCAAAGTTTACATATATTTTCGCACACATATAATTATATTTGATGTTATATAGGTATATACATATCGATACTTATAAAATTGAATGAACAAGTATAACATTTTAAAAGTAGGTTTCTATTTAAATTAAATATTTCCCGGGAATTTACTAGCGAAAAATAATAGTCTATTGTCACCAGCGTATGATGTAGCTTCCTGTACTGAAGGAATTTTCAAAATCAGTCCAACAGTTTCGGATCTTACTCAAACAAACGTTAAGCAAACAATCGTACTTTCTTCCTATAATATTATACATAGATATTTTTCTGTTGGTATGTCTCATTGTTATATTAGTCAAATATTGTTATAGTTAGTTATAACTATGGCAAACGAAAAGATAGTTAAAAACTATGGCAAACGAAAATTGGCGATAGTTCAATAAAATCCTATGCCCTTGATACTAATTTAATAATTCGCGATTATAGATAACAGTAAAAGTTCATAAAATATACTTTGTAAATTTGCTAGGTATAGCAAATCAACTGCTAAGTCCTTTAATTGCTAGGTAGAGCTAAACAAAGTGTTAAAGATAAATGAGAAGTTCTAATCTAACTGAAGTTATTATAATAAGTAAACGGTAAAACTTAGTACGGCACTCCACGACAGGGGCGTTCAGATTATCAGTGCTTTTGTAATGTTTGCTGTCACAAAAGATATCACTGAGAGAGCCACCTGGTTGGCCTCCCTTTTTTTTTCTTTAATGTTATATACAATTATTGTGAAGGCCAATAATAACATTTTATTTCTTTCTAATCCCAAATCCCGGTAAATTAGATAGTGAAAAACACATAGAGTTAAGTCGATAAAAATATTAGGAATAAGCTCCTTTCATTATCACTACATACTTACGTAGTATTAGTTAAATCAATATTCGTTACAATTTCGCAAACTATAATTCCCTGTGACTTCATCTTTACTCCTTAACCTTGCTACGGACTTCGATGCAGTTTTTAGGGTTCCGTACCCAAAGGGTAAAACAGGAAACCCTATTAAGACTTGGTTGTATCTTATGAACTGTGAAAGTGAGACAGTTGAAATTTTCACAAATGATGTATTTCTTTTGCCTGAAAATTTGAAGATCACCATCACTAGCCCTTTTACGTCCCCACTGCAGGGGCTCAGGCCTTCCTTATGGATGGTTAAGGAGGATGGGCCATGACCCTCCACGTTGGCCCAATGCGGATTGGAGGGTATTAACGACTGTAAATGCAGCCGGGACCAACGGCTTAATGTGCCTTCTGTAGCTTGCGATAATAATTTAAAGAAATTTTAATAAAATAAATAGTTAGTCCGATTCGCACTTTGCCGGTTTTTATTGTCCTACGAAAATTTTTGAAGAGGTTTGACATCTCTCAGTTTAATCGTTGATGAATAACAAATTAGTAAAAAGAATATTTATCGGTCGGAACTCTATCAAACAAACATTTTCGTGTTGCTGCATTCGTATCGATTTGTTGCTTTTGTAATTCCAATACAGTATCATCAGCCTATTGGCTGATGATGGAAGTATTTAAAAAAGAAACATTAGTTCCCAAAATCAAACTAGATGTCGCTGTGGTAGGTTCTTGATTTCTCCATGATGACCCAACCGGTTTTCTTTCATGTTTAAAAGTACATTAGTTTCCAAAATTCAATAAGCAATTCATATTCTATTTGTACTTTTTCGTATTTGTATTGATATTTAAGTTGTGAAGTTTTCAAATTGAAGTTTTTTAATATGTTAGTTAAAAGGAACGGAAATTACTGTCTTTGGTACATTCGTTTCCTTCAAAAGTCAACTTTTGCTAGAGTCGCCATCTAGTGGAGGTGCTTTTTTAGCTTTCGTTTTTTTAATACTTCTTCATTATATCCTCACTGCTGGGTTAAAAGCCTTACCTTGCACGCGAGCACCGCCCGGGGTTAAAGTAGAACCCCCTCACCGACGCGGTACTCCGGGACAGTGCCACCGATGCCAGCTTTACGGGCATGCGGCGGCTAACTGTTCCGCGACTCCGAGGTGCGTAAAGTGCCTCGAGTCACATCCTACAAAGGAGTGCTCTCGAACTCGAGACACTCACACCCCTCCGGCCTGTGTACTGTGTGGCCAAATCGGCCACACGGCCAACTATAAAGGCTGCCCACGAGCACCGAAGCCCAAACCTCTTCTAAGAAGATGGGCAAGGGCCCGGCGTTCAACAAAGCGCCTAAAGCCCCCCCCCCCCCGCCCACTGCGGCGAACTTCCCCGCCTTACCAAAGGCCGCCCCCAAACCGGCTTCACAACCGGTATGGACGAAGCCTTCACCAAAGGCTTCCGTCCCACCTCAAAAAACAGCTCCTGTTTCTTCATCCTTAGTCGATGACGTGAATACAGTTTTCAACTTGATTCGCGGAATCGACATAGATGAAGTCGCCACCGTAGCGGCTAAGCTCCGCCGCGCTTCGTCCACACGGGAACGCCTTCTGGCGCTGTGTGAACACGAAGCGTTACTAAGTGCCTTATCATAAGCACTAACATGTTAGGTTTCTCTAACCTCCTACAACCCATCCTTTGGCCGACCTGGACCTCCTCACGAGACCCAGTAGGCCAAAATCCATCCATCCTCACCATACCGACCCTTCAGGTCAACCCACTCGGTCCTCTCGACCTGACATCCCTTCAGGATGCAGGCCACACAAGTTGCTACGAGTATCAGATAGCACCCTTCTGGTGGTATGTGATGCCGCCCTCCATACGTCGACCCTTCAGGTCATACCCCCCGTCCGATCCGGCTGATCGTTCCCCTTCAGGGAGTCAGCTGTACTCTCGACGTCACTATTCATGTATGTGTTTAGGGACGTCTGCGCCGCCCCCCCCCTTGAGGGGGGGCGGTCGCTCCGATGAAGGTTCGTTGCCTCCGGGTATGTAACCATTAGTCCAAGGCGGTGTTTAGTCAGTAGGAGTCTGACATAACCCTCACAGCCGGCTGTGTTGGTATCCAATGAAGGATTCACCGCCTCCTTCCTCCGTTGATGGGAAGGTGGTTCCGAACCCATAAGGTTGAGAACCGAAAAAAAAAAAAAAAAAAAGCGAGCACCGTGGTCATTACCGATGCAGCTAGGACAGCGGCATAACGTGCTTTTGTTAACCCTATGACTAGCTCTAACGAAAATTGCTTAATTACTACACAAACGGGCCAAAACCGCAATAAAATACGTCGAATGAATTTAATAAGACGAGTTAAAAGTCTACTTGAAAGAGAACTGTCGACTGAGTATAATATGAAAAATTATTTTCATAGTATATCAATTAAAAAAAAGTCCAGTGTTCAAATTAGTTCTTTTTAGGTAGATAGTAGTTCAATGGTATATATTTTTTTCCTGAAATCAAGAAATATATACAGGTTAAACACATTTTTAAGAACGGACGCGACCGCCTGTCTCCTCTAGCTATAGGACACCTAGTTATAGCGCTATATCATTTCATTTTACTACTTTGACATGTACTTTAATGACGAAGATAAAGAATAATGATTAGATATGCATTTCACCGTAGTGTTTCTAACTTAGTCATTTATCCTTTGCATACTAATAATCAAATATTTCATATTTAAAATATTAGTATAACATATGAATTCTATCTATAACATCTATAAAGATTTATAATTTAATACTTATGATGACATTCTTGTTATGTCTTAGGCTTACTGTTATTTTTATTGTGGGCAACTTTTTGGCCGGATTTATTATAACTGTAATAATGTCTTTCGATTTTTTATGTTGGAATGGCTGTTGTCTCGAGCTCATAAAATAAAAAATGAATTTTTATTACCACCGAGCTTCTATAAGTTATATTTTAAATATATATGTTTTAAAGAACTTTAACTTTACAATGAAGGGTACATATTTCAAAATCTTGAGGCCAGCGGTTAGAGCTTTTCGGACTCGAAAGGCGAGACTGAGAAACCAGGTGTTATTTGTGAAACGCCAAGTACCTACGTTCTTATGCACGCGCTTAGCACGCTACTCACTCATATACTTAAATATTGAAAATGGTTTGAGAAAACTTAAATCAGAACCGAAAAACTGTTTAAGCGACGTTTAAGTACAGTTTTTGACGTTCTTGACTAAGTTTGAACAAGCACAATATTGGTTAAAATTAAACCAAATGAGGCGCTCTGATTTTATTTGTTCATTGTGGTTTATTTAATCATAAATTAATAGGGATGCCGACTTATTTTTACTTGTTTGTCCGTTAGGTAGTCTGTTAAAAAAATTAGACACGTAATTTTTTTTATTTTTCTTTGTAATTATCAAATTACGGCGATACATCGAGTTAAAATCTCACATGACGTCACGCTTTTGTACATTTTCTACAAAACTGAGATTCTTCAACTCCAATGCCTGTTATCTAAGCTATTTCTTGTTAAGTTGAGTAAAAAAAAAACTAAATAGAGTAATATCTTTTTTACCCAGTCTTTTACATCTATCAAATATAGCATATTAAAAAAAATGTTTATCTTCACTCACTAGGTCGTCTCTTATTTATTTAATATTTCAACCATGACGCTTTGATGTAAATTAGTTTGAATCGATAAGTTTTGTCACATAATATAGGATAGAGTGTTTGATATAAGAAACTAATAAGTACATAGATTATAGTATAATCAAGTACATAGTCTAGTGATATGACAAGATATAATATAATTGAAAATGAGTGTGAACAATATGACTCATGATGAAAACGTAACATAAAAGTTAATATAAAGATTATGCCTAATGCGGATTTGCCTAATGTTGAAAAGTACCGAGTTATAAACCTGAATTACTTTAAACATTTAAATTAAATCTAATCTATATTCAGTATGTGAATTGTGTTCATAATTACGTTATAGCCTTACTGAT